TATGTGTGTGTCTGTATGTGTGTCTCTGTATGTGTGTGTGTCTCTGTGTGTGTCTCTGTATGTGTGTGTGTCTCTGTGTGTGTCTCTGTATGTGTCTCTGTATGTGTCTCTGTATGTGTGTGTGTCTCTGTGTGTGTGTCTCTGTATGTGTCTCTGTATGTGTGTCTCTGTGTGTGTCTCTGTGTGTGTGCGTCTGACGTACCGTGCGCGCGGCGTGTACACAAAGTGTTGGATTTGCACGGTCACGCGCACGCGCGCGCGGGGCGATACGAACCTAGTTCCATGTCCAGTCGTAGACACGCGACAGACTGCTGTGCACGCGCGATGTTGATGACAATAAAGCGATGTGAACAACGTACATTAAATTTTAATTTACAAAAAAATCACAAATTACGCCGGTAGTTCAAGCGAATGCCTACACAGCGAGTGCGATTAAGTCATTAGCTCGCTGTCGTTGCGCGACTTGCGTGCGTGAAGAACCCTCCGAGTGATGTTCTCTGTACCTGGACGCGCTCCGCCTCTCGTCTAAGAGGCGGGCGAGGAGGGAGTCGCCACTTTCTGGTCGCGTTCCTCTCCCCGTGTCGCTTCCTCTTCCTGCGTCGTCGTCGTCACTGCGGTGACTTTTTGGCACTGATCCTCGCAAGTCTTCACACGTGTCGGCCACTCCTCCCCCACACACACCCACACATACCTGTCCCAGCCCGTATCAGTCGTGCCCCCCTACCTTGTTACAGAGCAATACAGAGCGCGTTGATCACCACCCGTGCCCCTTATACATCTCAACGTTCATCCTGTAAAGTCTCATCGCAAGGGAGATACGCAAACAGAATAGGCACGAACAAATCTTGTTTTTTGTATCAGCTAATCGTTTTTGTGTGTGTGTACTCATACCTGTCGACCCCTTATCAGTAGTGCCCTACCTTGTTACAAACCAATTCAGACCTTATTGGTCACCCCCGTGCCCCTTAAAAATCTTAACGTTAGTAGTAGGTTTTTACCCTTTTAAACTGGTACAAAACCGACACCTTTATTCAAGGCATCATGTTTTCAATAACCACAACACAAGTAGTCAAAAAAGCAAACAAAAAAAAGCAACTCTGATAATGATAATAATATGCACTGTCCTTGAAGTTGATTGGTCCACACCCGAGACGGCTTTCTTTAGAGCCTAGTCCCCATTGGTGTTGGACCAGATGACACCAGAAAGGGAGATGCAGGACCGGGGTGTCATCAACCTCAACCCACCTCCAACCCATCTCCACCCACCAACCTCCACCCACCTCCATCCACCACCAATCATCACCCATCTCCACCCACCAACCTCAACCCACCTCCAACCCATCTCCACCCACCAACCTCCACCCACCTTCATCCACCACCAATCATCACCCATCTCCACCCACCAACCTCAACCCACCTCCAACCCATCTCCACCCACCAACCTCCACCCACCTCCATCCACCACCAATCATCACCCATCTCCACCCACCAACCTCAACCCACCTCCAACCCATCTCCACCCACCAACCTCCACCCACCTTCATCCACCACCAATCATCACCCATCTCCACCCACCAACCTCAACCCACCTCCAACCCATCTCCACCCACCAACCTCCATCCACCACCAATCATCACCCATCTCCAACCCATCTCCATCCACCACCACCCACCTAGCTTATTCTATTTCACGTGTGCCCGAAAAGTGGCCGACGAGATGTCATCACCCTCGCCCAATGGGTTCGATCCCGAACCCTGACGATGTCTGTGGATTTTTCCTTCGGTTCCTTCGGGGTTTGCCCGCTACCTTTAAATTATTTGGCTGCTCCGATAACTATTCCCCTGTCCGTACGATTATGAAGCCACTTCGATTCGCCATGTCGTGCGTGGGCCGGGTCGCCTCCGAAACAGAGCGAATTGCTTGAGAGGGGGCTTTACCTGGTAGATATTTGAGTTTAGTACCTGTGAGTCATACGACGTGCCTGTTGAACACGTGTGCGTGCGATGATTACCCCCCCCCCCCCCCCCATTGGAACAAAGATCCCCCGTGTAGCCTTTTAAGCAGACATTTGGGGCAAGTGCTGTTGTTAGCGAGTAGCACCGATTAAGGTCGGCGCACGCAGCACCACGCCCGACCGCCTTTGTCTCTAGACATCAGCACCGGGCACCGTACTCATTTGAGGCCGAGTCGACCTAGGGGAGATGCAGGACCGGCTCAGATATTCGTCACCAGCGGGAATCGATTGCTGAAACTGGTTCAGATATCGCTGCCGGACTCCACCAATGTTAGCCGGGGCCGGGAATCCAACGCGGGTCTGCGCCGGTCTCACAGCGCAGTGCGCTCACCACCACGTGGACCGCTAACCAACAACTCGCACTCACCACCACTCACCACCACGTGCACCGCTCACCTACAACTTGCACTCACCACCACTCACCACCACGTGGACCGCTAACCAACAACTTGCACTCATCACCACTCACTACACGTGAACCGCTCACCAACAACTCGCACTCACCACCACGTGGACCGCTCACCAACAACTCGCACTCACCACCACTCACCACCACGTGCACCGCTCACCAACAACTCGCACTCACCACCACTCACTACACGTGAACCGCTCACCAACAACTCGCACTCACCACCACTCACCACCACGTGCACCGCTCACCAACAACTCGCACTCACCACCACGTGCACCGCTCACCTACAACTCGCACTCACCACCACTCACCACCACGTGCACCGCTCACCAACAACTCGCACTCACCACCACTCACTACACGTGAACCGCTCACCAACAACTCGCACTCACCACCACTCACCACCACGTGCACCGCTCACCAACAACTCGCACTCACCACCACGTGCACCGCTCACCTACAACTCGCACTCACCACCACTCACCACCACGTGCACCGCTCACCAACAACTCGCACTCACCACCACTCACTACACGTGAACCGCTCACCAACAACTCGCACTCACCACCACTCACCACCACGTGCACCGCTCACCTACAACTCGTGCTCACCACCACTCACCACCACGTGCACCGCTCACCAACAACTTGCACTCACCACCACTCACTACACGTGGACCACTCGCCTACAACTCGCACTCACCACCACTCACCACCACGTGCACCGCTCACCAACAACTCGCGCTCACCACCACTCACTACACGTGGACCGCTCACCAACAACTCGCACTCACCACCACCACGTGCACCGCTCACCAACAACTCGCGCTCACCACCACTCACCACCACGTGCACCACTCACCACCAGGGGGATTGCTCACCAACAACTCGCACTCACCACCACTCACTACACGTGGACCGCTCACCTACATTAATTCTAGATTTGAAGCTTTCGTGACTGCAAGGATTCATACTCTTAGGTTGTTTCGGTAAAGTCACGTAGGTAAAAATTAAAATAGAAATAGTAATAGAATCATAAATCACGATGTTTCGGAGGCAACACAAGTCTCCGTCATCAGGTGGGACCGTCACAGCTAAATTTACTGTATCAAGTGAGGAAAAATCCAAGAGACAAGCTCTTAAATACAAGTTAAGGGGGAGGGGCTTATTCTACTCCACGTGTGCTTTCCGTCAGTTTACCAAACATCGGGTGCGTGCAGTGGTTTCATGCGCGTATGAATAGAAACATTGTTTGGTGATGCTGCGTGGGTAATTGTCCTTGGGCACAAATAACGCCGACAATACTGTCCGCGATACAGAACTCGACTTTGCTTTGAACATACACGTCTCTTGCCGCAGCCGTCTCAAATCCAGTTCTCCTTTTTGAGATGACAGTGCCAATCTTTCATATTCATCGAACACTCAACGCATCCGTCAATAACACTGCGATCCTTCGTTACTGGGCCATTGATCAAAATGTCGCCTATTATACACGTTTCCTTTTGAAGCCAGTGTGACTGACGCATGTGTTGAGTTTTATGTGAATAGTCACTCATCTCAAAGGGGCAAAGTGCGGACGGAGTTGGGCGTGAAGTCTAGATTTGATACCGCAACAGGATTATTGCATATTTATTGAACACAACCCGGCGTTATATCGCGTGCGGTATACGTCCGTAAACGATTTGCACCAAGAGTGGGTGGATTGTAAACTCGTGTTGATGACTCAGGTGGCGTTAGGGTACGGCATTTATTGTATTTATACTGGACGTGCCTGGTTGAACTCAGGTTAACATACGTATCATGTTACTGCATCGTGTCTAACACTGGTGTAAATGCCAATGTGTGGAGCGGTGATCACGGATAACATCACTGACCAGTGATCCGAAACAGTCCGTACATAACGTGTACCATTCGGCGTGGGCGATGTATCGTACAACCTCCATCACCGACAGGGGGTGGAGATGTCTTCACCAACAATGCATTCAGTGATGAACATTTTTCGCTATTTTAATGCAATTTAATATAGAGCGCCTACAATGACTCTTTATATCCAGTACAGGACTCCATATACAAAATTGGTAGGCTTACTACTTTTTTCCCCTCTTGACACACCTGTATTTTTAGTTGAAAATACATGCCAAACGTAAAGCTATATATGTAACCCCTGAAATACTGTACTGTAAATGCAGGTCCTGTATATATTCCTTAACCAGATTTTGGTTTAATTGTGGCTCTTTAAACCAATTTATCCCCCGTAGGCCTGATATGTAACTAGCAATGTATAACCTAAATGTTGCCATCATTTTAAATGGTTTGCAGGTATGAGCTTATGGGGTCAACAATAACGTAGCCATATATGTTCAAACATTTGATGCACAATGTAAAACCTGTACCATAAGTGGTGACATGTTTACAGCGATGTTACATAATCATTGCATTCAAAGAAATGTCTCTACATGTGTGCACTCAGTAGGCATTGCTATAACTTGCATTAATACTATTATGAACACAAGTTTTCAGAAAAAATATTGAAGCATTACACATGGTACCTAAACCGTCAAATGCCACAACACAGTGAATATTTAAAACTTTATTTTTTCTCTGAAATGGCAATATTTTTTGCACACCAAATGAATGTGTTAGGTGACATGAATGTTATTACTGTATGAGCAAAGTAACATGTCAGTTTTGTAATATAATTACACCAACTCCCACAAACAAAATAACATGTTACTTTAAGATACATGTATGGGTCTCTTTTTGCTTCTTAAATACATTTTTAAAATTGGTATGTTTTTAATGGCAAATAACACCACGTTTGTAAAAAAGTTTTTGTTTTTTTACAGCAAAGAACATTTATGAATAATAATGCTTCATAACGCAACATTCCAATTGGTTTTATTACATCTTCAAAGAATAAAACAAATCCTTTACGTGTTCCACATTACAGAAAAATCTAAAACATCGATAGAAAACATCTGCATCAGCAATGGATCACTAACGATAATCTTGGTTTGTATTATTTTATTGAAATAATCCTGTTAAGCTGTTCCAGTAAGGTCAATTGTATTTATAGTGGACAAAATATTACTTCCAAAACAAAATACTTCCCATGTTGAGTTAATGAAAACCTTTTTTTTAACCAACATGGTAAATACAAGAACTACCGTATGCATCATAATTACAATGGGAATGCTATGACCATTAAAACAACCAAATGTTCAAGGCTTCCATAGCTTCAGAAGACCATCCTCACTGTAGGTGCCGATGAGGTTCTGGTGTGGGTGGTGAGTGATTCCAATAACATCTTTCTCGTGCACCTAAAATGCAACACACATGAAAGTCAGACATGCGGGTAATATACAAACATTGGTTTATAAGTGTTTGTGTAACACTCGTGCACAGGCTTTACGAGTAGCAGGTTAAAACTTAAGGATATAAAACCATGTAGCGAGTAACATAATAGGTGTCAAAGAAAATTTACAGTTTATAGAGTCTATCAGTAAGCTCTCCATAATATCCAATCATTTCTATAAAATGGTATACATTATGTTGTCATTAAGTCACCTTTTGATTTTCCCTAAGAGGTTCCTCTTACTATCGTTTAAATGATAGGTAATTGTTCCTCAGGTATTGTGTAGGTAAAGAAAGAAAAAAAACATTACCAGAAAACCATAACATTTTTATCAATATCCATCCTTTTGGTTTTCCTAACAAGTTAACCTCGTCTTAAACATGTATGAAATAAAAGGCTGCAAAATGTGTTTGTTGACGATATAAATTTTGGTTGTTAAAACTCCCAATTTATATTTCCTGACCATGTGTATATACTCACAGTCAGTGTCCTCTCCAGCTTTCCTGTGACAACACTGAAGCAGTAAAGCACAAAGTCTTCTCCCACGCAGTAGATCCACTCTCCACGGGGTGACAGGCAGCAGCATACGAAGTCACCACCCTCCCTCTTACCAGAACTGAAACTCCTCACAATCTGAAACACAGGTGCCAGTCCAATGAGATTTTAAAAGGGAGATTAAAAAAAAAATACTAGATAAGCTGAAGTGATAAAGCTAATTCACCCTCTTGTCCAGGCTATATTACTTAATATAGGCATACCTCGCCAAACGCGGGGGTTTCGTTCCTGGGAAATTGTGTTGGGTAAAACCACGTTCAACAAATGCACCTCATGGGAAAAATTGGGTTAAGTTCCTGGGTCTGAAATTATTAACCATTCCCTCGGTTTCATTCTACATGGTTTCCACCCTTGTTATTGTACTTATGAATGCCGAGACGCTCTCTATTTCCTGCATGTGTACACTATTTGTCGCTTTCACTTCAACACAAAACTCCCGTCTCCATTACTCTTCCCGCACCACGGCACTCACACCCAAGGGTCGCCCCCGACACTAATTTACCAGCACGAAGCTCGCCCCCGACACAGTCACTTGAACTTTAATGATTCACCATCTAGGTGTCCGTATGCCTGATGTCAATGATGGCTAGATGCATGCGGCAATGTGAAACATTTGTGATAAGCAGATGTGCGTGTCCATTGTTACATTATCACACAAAACACTTAAAAAAATCAGAGTCGATTCATTCACAGCATCCAACGGATGCAGCACTTTCACAGCACTACTTTTTCAATGAGAATCTTAGCAGCGTCAAATTGCGTATAACTGAACATGACCCCAGTGTTCCGCAAAAACAGACCTCGTTAGGTAAACTGTGTACGATAAGTCCTCACTTAACGCATGTTCAAACAATACATTTTCTTACATGAGGGAACACTTTTCGGCCAACGTGGAAAGTGCACCGTTATAACGCGGAATGCGCGTTATAACGCCATTTCTGAACGGGCAACTACCTTTTTGAGCTGCGTGGCTGAGCGTTATGATACAATACGTGGAATGATACAGTAACAGCAGCACCGTTATTTGTCCTGCCATCTAACTATGTGTACGTACATCTTATCTCACCAAATTTCATCGTTATATTATTTATAAAAAAAAATATTTTCGCTTAATGCGTATTTCTCTTAACGCGGTACTTTTCAGGAATGCATCTACTGCGTTAAACGAGGACCTACTGTATAGCCGAAATACGTGTTTGATAAGCCATGTTTGGCTACGTTTTCCTGTATTGTTAGACACACAGGGATGCCCTGTTATGCTCTGCGTCATAAAGTTTGTAACCCGCGATAGTAGCTAAATACATAAAATATAATGGGAACCATTCACTACCATAGCATAAACTGAATCATGTGCATATTTCCATCACTATTAATTTTCCAAATGTCCAACTTATCTGAATCTTTAACGGTCTGCACACAAAAGAAAGAAATTGCTGATCCTATAGCCCCCAGAAAACAATATTTAAATTTAAGATTACGGGACGACAAATTGTTTTATTTATGACCTAAGTATTTACACAACCAAAAGGTTTTATAAGTGGAAAAAAACGAATAAGAGGTTATCCTAGTGTAAATGAAGGAGCCTTATACAGCCCAAGGGAGTTTTGTAAAGCTCAAGAGCTTATGTTGACTTCTGCATATCCCACATGTACACATTTACAAATATCTTCCTGCATATTAACAGACTACTGCATGATTTTTGTATCACAGCCCCCCCAAAGTCGAGCATCAAAATGACACAATGTCACAAATCTTGTACACATTTGAACTTCCTCAATCAAATAGATCAGACTACAAATGCCAAGTGGCACACGGGACGAATTAAGCAAAATACATTTATAGCAGCACATACCTGTCCCTGCATGTTCATGATGACCACAGTGTTGGAGCGATTGCATACAACAAAGTGCTCGGCATTCTTGGGGACAGCATGCACACTGTTCACCGTGATGTCAGAACCTGTTGTACCACCCAAAGACTTGAACGTGTTGACACATTCAGTTGTCTTGACACTCCACACCTGTCATGAAAATTAAAATGATGCAGCATAATCACTTGTGAAAAAGCACTCATGAACATTTATTTGTACACTCCTATTTCAGCATTGAAATATGCTCAAAGTGGACACAATCTTCACGCAAAACACAATACAGGTTCATACAAAACAGCAATATCTCACAACCGCAAAATATTGAGTTTTACAACGAGGGAGTCTTAAATGGGTAAAGCCTGCCGAGTTTTGCAGATTGAAACTCCACGACATTCCTTTACTCGCATTGAGTTGATTAAAACGTATTTTTAAATTTAATTATATGCATTGCACGAAAGTAGAAACTTGATAAGTATAAACATTGATTTCAGATCACAATTATTTAATCTAGTTTTCTCAAATAATTCCAAGTAACATGAGCATTCAGCAGTGCTCAATACATGATTAAAACCCTGAGCCAGATGGAAATTACACATTAACTGCCCAGAGAGGTACTCAGTAATCTAGACTGACAACTGTAATTTTTACTTTAAACATTACAATCGTGATCTGCATGAATTAACTAATGTGCCCAAGTTAGTTGCGACCTTATTTGTGATTTTTTGCATAATTTCATGCATGAATCACAATAATAAATGCTACACCAAATTGGGTATTTTTTTTACCAAACAACTTATTTACTTCTTTAATACAGGTCACCAGTAATGCTATTATTTTAACAATTACCGAATTATTTGTGAATGTACAATGTATTCATTTAAGTTAAATCACCTGTAAAAATGTGTGAAGCATCATAACATTGCCACATTTATAAAGAATCGAGGTTAAATTTTGTACCTTGACAGTCCCATCAGAAGAGGCACTGATAACATGGTGTCCATCCTGGGTGAAAATGGCTTCGTTCACAAATGATGTGTGACCTCTGAACTCCTTCAAAGTCTTACCAGACTTAAGGCCATGCACCCTGAAACAAAACACATTGATTTCAGTCCAAGGTACTTCAAAACAAATACAATGTGCCTAATGCAAGCATTGGAAGAAACTGCATTTATTCCGGTTTTCAACACAACGCGAACATTTAGGCATTAAATAGTAGAGAATTAGGGTTTTAAGCTAAATAATGGAAAAAGTTAACTTGTACAAAAAAGATAAATAGGGACCGATATCAACAATAGGCTTCTGCTTCAAGGCAAACATTTCTATTTAATTTCTTATTGCCAATGTATATATGCTTTCAAAGTGAACGTGATATGAAAAAGGCTCACAACATAAATAAGCAATGTGTCCTTCAAATAGCTGTCTCTCCACATACAAACAACAGTATTTTGTCTAATTTGCGCAAGCCTAACTGCTGATGGTACACTGTGGGTTGAAACTAGTTCAGTCTGCTTGTGTTTAAACAATGCTGGTGAAGTTATGCAATCCCAGACGGTTGATGATTTGTGAAAGAAATACTTTTAATACATGTGGAGACAGACATGTGAAGATCAGTCTGCTTATTTGTTTTGTTATTGATATTCGCCACAAAGAAGCTAATGGTTATTTGAATAAAGATAACCTTTAGAAGCTACTGTTGATTTTTTTTCCAATAGGCCAGGCTTTAAACAACGAGTTGTTGTCTTTATTTTGCAGAGGGTGAACTGGAAACAGATTCTGTTTCGCACCTCCGATTAGCACGGTTGGCTATGTACGGCACATAACATTTCGATACTTTGCTAGGTTATTTAATTTAGTGTGTTCTGTCTCCCTCTAAGCCTGCTTACTTTACTACGCCTCCCTTCGTACTCATTGACATGTAAATTTTTTCCCTACCCCCTCCCTCTCTCTGCCTCCGCCCCCCCTCTGTCTATTTAAGGCCACCCCACAGAGACGATCACCCCTCTTTGTACCTGGGTTGCTCTCTCTATGTATCTTGGTGATATCTGTCTGCTTATATGTCTGTCTATAGTTTTCTGGTTAGATTCTATGTCGCTATTTCATTATACCTGATGATGATTGCTTGTGTTGCAATCGAAACGTCGTATGCTATTATTTAATTTAATATTTTATCTTTATACGTGACTTTACCGAAAAAACCAAAGAATACATATACCTATTTACTCGGACAAAAAAGTGAACGCTATCGCTACTTTGTGCCTTTAACACTGGGGAGTATCAAGGGTAGCATCTATTGCTTGGAATGAACAAAGCTAATCAACATTGTTTGCTGAAATCTTAAAAGCAAATACGTTCAATATACTCCTATACAATGTATAGGTTCACATCTTGATATTAATTTCAAAGGAAAGTAACCGATAAAGTTAATGAATAAATCCCAAAATAAGCATGCTAAATCCATTGAAGATGTTGTTTTCATTCAAAGCAAACACTTCAAGCATATTATAGATAGCAGCATGCTCATAGATGTAAACAATGTATGTTTTAATATTTTAAGGCTTTCCAATTAAGATTGAAAAAGTATGCATTAATACTCCCACACTGCAACAGGTAACGCAATAACCAGTCATTTTCAAGGCTGGCAATGACGAGGTCAAGGTCGAAGACAAAAGCTGCAAGGCGAGGTCAGGAGCCCTTTATGTCAAGGTAGTGCCTAGGGGAGTTATGAGCTATGATATTTCAAGAAGCCGTATGACCTGAGCCTTCTGGCTTTTGGCCTGATGTACAAAGGTGACCACACGCAATTATGTTATCGTCTTGGTCGAAAAGGCTCCTCCTTTTAGCGCTGCTTAAATCGCAAAGTTTTGGATAACCCTTTGCTTTGATCCAATTGGCAAATAGTCTCCCGGCAAGTCCCAAACAGGAACACAAGATGATGTTCAAATGTCTTGCTTATGGAATCATCTATACGAGAGTTATCGTGCTTGAGCCAGCCTCGAGTCCAAGGACTCGTCTTGAGAGTTATGAATGAAACTTTACTCTATAGTTGTGTTGCTACTCGGGACTTGTATGTATTAATTTCTTTCGCACCATACCTCGCCAACCGTGCTAATTGGAGGTGCGGGAAATATAAAACCGAAAAGAAAACTGGCCAAATTGATCAAGGGGTTGCATAATAATTGAGAAACAAGGGCTAATATGACCTGCCTCAGCATTCCAGCCCTGCTAGCCAAGGCATGCCCTCCCCCCAGCTCTCTGTCCGAACCCGTTGTCTCATCACTGCCTATGGATGCAACTCCTTCCTGCACGCCTTGCATGAGTACTACTGTTACACCGCAAATACTTTTGTGAGCAGAAGAATGTTGGAAAGTGTTATAGAATATATGCGTATGCAGGATTTATTATTTTCCTTGTTACCTTATGATTTGATCAAAAGCAGCACTGAGAATCTGGCTGCTGTCTTTGGAAAAGCTCACACACGTCACTCCTTTGCTGTGTGCTCGCTCGAAACGGCGCAAACACTGCCCACTCTGTATCTTCCACACCTACAGCAACAAACACACAAAGCATGTACCTAAATAACATACCTTATATCAACATAATTAATGTGCAAACATCTGTACAAAAAATATAATTTAACAGCAGTCTTATCCGTCATCTTATAATCCATTCATGTTACTATTATCAAGGAACAGGAATGAATCCCAAAGGATTTCAAACAATTTGGAGTATTCAATTAAGTCACCAGGTGTCTTTGTAAATCGTCAAAAGCTAGGTTCTATCCCCTGCCAGGTGGCTCAGTGGTAGAGCAAGTAGCTCATAATTAGAAGGTTGCTGATTTAGCCCATCATTCCTCTGGGGTAGACAAAATAAGAACTTCTTTGTGGGGAAGCCAAAAGTAGTTTTCCTATGAAGACACACCCATGCCATAGGTATGTGCAACTTTCGCGAATATCTCAGTGCTGTAAATGTAGATGGGCACTGCATCAATGCTCATTTGAGCAATAAATCACTGCATTTTTTGACTGCTGGATGAAATCCTCCTCACTCCATTACATTGTGTGCTACGAAGAGCGGCCATTGCCAGATATATTGCCAATTATATTTTTCTATAAGGGCAGAGTTACTCTTTGTGCTTGTGTACCACTGCCAACACAGTATCACGAAATAATTTAACAGAAACAATAGAAAACTGCAAACAGTCACATTGTAACCAGAAAGATCGAATAAATGTATTTGAAAATCAAAAAAACTACTTTCCTTCCTAGTACAACAATGTTAAGTCAATTAGAAGATAATATTTATTTTTAAATCCTTTATATTAAGTTTGCTTGCTTGCGTGCTTGCGTGCTTGCTTGCTTACGACCGTGCAAATCTTTCGGTCGTTTTTTAACCCACTTCCCGTGATCCAATCGAGCTGACATTTTGCACACAGACTAGTTGTGCGAGACAATTAATGTTCGTGAAAAATTTTTTCCCAAATTTTACACTGTTTAGGGAAAACAAATTAAATATTTAATTACCAATTGCTTAATACTGGCAGACAATCATCTGACCCATAGGTGGCAGCCATCTCAAGCCAGAGGACGAGAGGACTCTAGCCGCCACGCATATAAAGGATTTATAGTGAAAAACTTTTTTCTACGGGTTAATTTTTCCATCCTGGGACAGACGTCTTGTTATTCATGGGTTTTAAGCTTGTCTCAACATATCAGCACAACATAGTACCTTGATCTTGCCATCTTGACCACCAGATGCCAGCATTTCACTGTCACGGCTAAAAGCCAAGCACAGTACGGCATCATCCATCATCATAAAGTTGTCCTGTGCTTGGTACTTCAAGTCCTGCGCACACAATGATACAATTCAAAGTCAAGTGATATGAAAACAAAATTGTTTGCAACTATTTCCAAAAAGTGGAAATTCATTTTTTTATATTTTTCAGGACCCTTTAAGCAAGTGTTATATAGTTGAAATCTTATTTTATGTACTCGTTAAGAATGCATGGCACACCGATTCATGTTTGCAGGGTGATTATACAAAGGGCTTGAAATGACTCCTGTTCGTCCAAGTGTGTTCATATATAACCTGCTACATCTTCTTGGTTCTTTCGGTAAAGTCACGTAGAAGGGAAGTAATAAAATAATAAAAATAAAACATAATAAAATAAAAAAATTATTTAATTGTTTTATTTTTTTTATTTTATTATTATTTTATTACCTCCCTTCAGTGAGAATTATTTTATTATATTATTATTTTATTATTATGTTTTATTTTTATTATTTTATTACTTCCCTTCTACGTGACTTTACCGAAAGAACCAAGAAGATGAATCCCTGCAGTCACGAAAGCTTTAAATCGAAACCTGCTACATGTTGAGTTAATGAGCTATAGCACATGACAATGTCAACTCCCTACTGAACCTCCAGCACAAGAGACTATTGCAGTGCCATGAAAGAATTGCTTGTACAGGGCACTGCACTAAACCACAAAAAATATCAAATAGGCCCAACTTCACTATTATTGGCTGGACTTCACTGGTCAATATAACATGCTTTACATAGATAGTTATAATTGTAAAAATATTAGGATGAACATATTTAAGCAATATTTAATTATGGAAAAAAAAATACTACCTTGCAAGAACATCAGAGGGCGACTATACATTGTACTACATAATCAAACAATTGCCAGGTATTCAAGCAGCACTAACTTAAAAAATGCGCTAACAACATTAAACATAAAAGGTGGGATTTAAATAAAAAGCGGAATCCTATTTTTATTTAACCTTTCCAGTTACTTCCATACCCATAATGCAATGGGATACATATTCTGACGGTTATTACCTTTCTGATCTTTCCAGTGGTGAAGTTCCAGACTTCGATGAAGCCATCCACAGAGCCAGTGATGAGGTACTGTCCATCAGGTGAAAATCTCCCACATTCCACATGTGATTTTTGTCCAAACTGCAAACATCGAATAAACCATATAATTTACACAGGATATGGGGTCAAACGTATGACATCAATACATCATATCAGCAAAAGACGTTAATCACAAATATGTATTCACTTAATCAACTAAAATTGTTAAAAATGTAAAAGTGAATAAGGTTGTCAATTTTGTAATAGAAAACGGAGTCTATTATTATGTATTATTACAGCCAAAATGAACTGCTTACACAATGATAGGAACCCTCAAGATTCTAGAATACAAACGTTTAATTAGCTAGAAAAGCCTTAACGAGTCTCAAGATTTTTGAAGAGGCACTTATGAGTGTCTGGATGTGGGAGGAAATATTATAGGTGTGATTATGCTGTTTGGGCAGGACCCTTATTTACATTAACTCAATGGCTCACCTCTGCAGTAGATAAAATGATAAAACTTTTCAGGCTCTCTTCATTCCAACAACCAAGACCTGATGTCAAAATCGCTTCCACCAGCCATCTATGCCAGACTTCCTGATGCTGATTAAGTCCAGGTTCAAGATCATTAACTTTTGCTCTGCATATGTTTGTATTGATATATATTTTGTAACTAAACACAGATGCCTTCTTTTCTCAAGATGGCCATGCCCCACTGTTCTTTGGTTTTATATGCAACATAAAATGAACTGGTATTTTTTTCTGGACATTATGCATCTCACACCATGCAGAGCACACAAGACATGGTGCAGGGGATCACCATGCTCAAATTAAACCAAAGGTGACTACCACAGATCAACAACGAACCGGAGGTACATTTTTTTGTTATGCTTAGTTTATACAGAAAAGCCCTTTGTAGTGAGTCGAATATGACAATTTTTACATTAGCATCAAGGTGGATCCACATAAAAATGTTTGCCAAGCTCATGGGTTCCAAGGTAAAATCTGATAGCTCATCCATATATTTGTTATTTGATTGCAACTCCCTTTAACCACATTTTAAGCATTTACATTTGCACATGCCAGCTTCATTAAGCACCGATAATTCACAGCTATTTCACAAATAATGTTATTGCTATTGCAATAACATTATATTCTGACATTAAGAAAAAACACATTTTTATGCAATTGTGATAACATATTTGGTAGGCTAAAACTAGTACACTATAATTATAATCTAGACTATAAGGTCATTAATGTATTTATTCAAGGAGAGCCAATCAAAACGTATCAATACCTTTATGTGACGACTGAGCTGTGTAGGGAACTTCTCTTCCTCCTCATCCTTGACAGCTGCTTTTCCTCTGAACAAATCGATTGTAGTGCCAGGTGGGAGCAAGCCCTGGTGCTGCTGCCACTTCAGTGCCTGTTTAGACAATCAACACAAAATATAGCTGTTATAAGCTGAGCTACGTGATGATATTTCAGATTATGCAGAAGATCAAGTGGTCTACAACACCAGTCCACCATGCAGAACACAATAAAATAACTTTGGATGGTGTTACAACAGGGTGAACATTTCAATGAATTAATTTATAATTTATCATAATATCTTGGGATCGAATATATTCACGCAATAAGCATAAAATATCTCATTGTCCAGATATATTGTAAAACAAAAATTAGCAGTCATCTAATTTAGATATGAAAACATCAATTAGAAGCATGTGTAAAAAATAATAGAAAAATGTTACTCAAGACTTATGCATACGCTAGACATAACAGAGAAATGCAATACATAAAGCAGATGTAATACAAATAAAGCATAAACATAACAATTCAAACATCGATTTTGTGGCCAATCAATTCTGTAATCTTGGATACGTGACAATTGCAGCTAAACAGAGATAATTTTGTGATGTTACACAAGATTACCTCACCCATAAGAGGTATTTTTGCATGAATGGAAGGAAACCGATTTTGTAATTTTAAACGACATTGAATATGCCCTGACAGTTTGCTTTATTGTCCCTCTTGTTCTTTGAAAACTTCCAAAATTCCTAACTACTCAGTGTTTTGTTAAAAACTCACACATTATCGTATTGCGAGTATGACGAGGACTTCACAACTTGAGTTGTGCAGAAACTGTGCCCAGCAATAAAATCAACTCATCCAACTCGCTCAATAAAGAAAGCATCTTTCAATGCTTCTCTCCCACTTGGGACAACTTTCATTGCCTGCCAGCTTGGGATCACTTGGGAAGTGAAGTGTGATTGTCGTGCCAATAGATAATCTAATTGAGACGCTGGGACATGTTATCATGTCTGCCAGTGACATGATCGGAATGTTGATAAGGATAGGCTCAAAATATTACTTTATGTAGTTTTAGGTTCCTCTTGGCAATCCATAGCTTTTAAACATGGCAACAATGCTACTTTTTTATTTGATAAACACTGTTCTCATATTCTACTACATTTAATGCATGCTTTGTGTGGTGAGGAACAATATAAGATCACATGCACTGCATGCTTGCTTATTCTTATTTTGTAAAGCTTATATGTAGAATTGTATAAATCTATTTGATTGATGCTACGAGAGCACTTGCTCTGCATCTACATCAGTCATAAGACTAGATAAATACAAACACGTACATGCAGCAGCTGTAAGTTCATACCTGTCCAAGCAAAGCCATGAGACGAGCAGGAGGCACCACGCTGACTTCCCCGGCGAGGGCCAGAGCGATGGCTGCCCTCCTCTTCTCCTTACTGCTACCATCCGGATATGCCTAGAAGCAACACCCAAATGTAAATATAACCTCCGATCAATATAAATTATCTGCAAGTAATCATTACAGATGGGACTAAACTAAAAAATATACACATCGTGTAAGAAGCTCTCTTACCTCTCGAGGGTCAAAATACGAGCGGGCAAGCAGGTTTTCCAAGTGGACGTAGCGTTCAGGCTGGGTCTGTTTCAACATGATCATGGGGTCGGTTTGCCTCAGCAGGGAGCGTGCAGCACCCAGCTCTCTCAGTTCAATCAGCTCCAACACCACCTACGACAGAGGCAAAGTATCAGTTTCAAGAGACATACATTTCAATTCTAAACAAGTATTAAATCACACAAAAGAGTGCACACCTTGCCTGTCATACCTGCTCATAGAGGTCAACTAGAGTTTTGTCAGGCAGCTTGAGAGACTGTATAGCCTGCAGTACAGTATCCCAGTGCCCATTGTTGATTTCCGATACAAAACTGTCGATGCTGTCCACCGTGTTGAGGGACACGGACGTCTCCTCCTGCAGCACGGCGAGCGTGCGTTGCAAATTGTTCTCCTTCAGGTACTGCATGATTAGCCGCACCACACTGAACAAACACACATACAAAAGAGAGATGTTAATAATTTTAATGGCGGCCTGCATGCCCATTGTAGTTTACACATTCAAATTGGACATGAACCCCTGCTCATCGATGTCTAATATTCACTTAAAACTGTATGCAAAACATATTTTTAAAGTAACCGACCAAAAATGTGCTGGGTATATTTCAGGGTGATTTGGTAATAGGCGTTTTTATACAATGTAAGTTGGGTATTAGCACACCATATATAAGTTCAGTTATGTTAAAAACATCACATACTTACAGTACACTTGACACCCTTGCAAACGAGACTTTTAATCTCCAGGGATTATCACACTTATTAAAACGAATCGATGCCTCGAGTTTCCTGGCTGGCGGCTGTTGGCTGGACTCCCCTCCACTCCAATAATAACTCGATTCATGGGAGTGATGGGCATTCCTTTGCCAGTACCAAAAGATGAGAATAGGGTTTCCCCTTTTTTCTGGCAACAAATGCTTGTCGTTGTGCTGTACGCCTTTTGGCGTCCTCTGATCTAACACCGTTTTGAGACTAGGCTCAAAAGAAAGCTGTCTCTGGTGTGGACCAATCCGTTTCAAAGACAATGCATATATTATAAGAGTACGTTTTTTGTTTACATTCTGACCACAAGCATTGTGGTTAATGCAAACACGATTCCTTGTAAAAGGTTTCAGTTTGGTGTTTTAACATCTTAACACGTGTTTTGTTGCCAGAAAAAAGGGGACAATCTATTCTCATAACTCAATTGTTAAGTGTTTTCGGGCCGTGGACACCTAAACTACCAGGCTTAATCGGATTTTCCGTATAACACTTGAACATTGATTTGAAACGGCGAAAGTTCGTGAAACATAATAGCGACATCGAAGAGGCGGGAGTAACGAATACAGAAAACTGACACGGTTATTTTCACATCGATTTCAATGTGTGCTCCCATGAATGCAATTCTTTTTCCAGAATATTATTATTTCATCCTGCGGTGCAGGATTGTGAGAAGAGTATGCAAATGATAGCAGTCTCTGATTTCGCGCTACAGAGCAACGGGTTATCTTTTAGCGCAAATAAAAAGTACATCACTTTAATCACAATGGTTACAACTGGTTGGGGGGGGAGGCACGGGGGGATTTCTCGTATCAGCACACTTTGGCTACAACCACACCTCGCCTTGCCACCGACGGGTGTGCCTAAATCCAGCTTTCTAGCGTGCATTCGTTAAATAAACGCAGATAACGCGCACTGTACGAATTGTAATGCAGCGTTGCCTCGCCTGGGCCTCCACCGAGCCTGGCCTAGGCCTCAATGGGGCCTAGGCAAGGCTCGGAGTTGGCTCACAAACCCCCCTTCTCCTCCCTCCCTGCCAGCGCGGACACTCACTCGGGTGACTCGATCTCGATGGACATGTTTGCCGAGGTGCGGGCAAAGGGGCCGCCGCGGTGCAGACGCCGTAGGTTTCGTGCGGAGGGTCAAATAAGACGGCGCCGACTCGGATTCGGAGGCCTTTGGCGTCCCCCCACCTCGCGCAGCGGCGGTGACGTCACCAGTGCCCACATGGATCGAGGCATGACGTCATTTCAGTGGAGCGATGTCGCTCGCGCTTGTTGCGGCCCCCTACCACGTCACGCGCATTGTCGTCGTGGTGATGTCGTGAGTGACGTCACGGCGATGGCGTGCGGTGTGGGGGGGGGGTGACGTCACGCAAAGCGATTGCGATGCCCCGTGACGATTCGTCGCTCGCGATTCTCGACCGCGATTTGATTTACGATTCGATTCACGTCTTTGCGTGACCACTCGAATTGATTGGTTCTGCTGCGCCTTTGTTTTTAATTGCAGGCAAACTTGCGTAAATATACGCGAACATGGTTTTCGATGAATTGATTGTTAATACGACATGACGTTAGTTGAATTACTGTTGAAACTGGCGTCTTTATTCATCATGGGAGTGGCAATATTCAAAGAAAAGTAATAGTACAGCCACTTCTCAATCCACTGCTGGACGAAGGCTTCCCTAAACCTTGTCAATCATGTGGTTATAATATACAGTGTTTCATCACATCACTCGCCACTAACTACTCGTCAGAATGGTTTTTTTTCGCTAAATATAGATTTTTTTGTAGTCTTGGACCGAACTATATCTGATTGTGAAGTTAATTCAAGGATTTTTAATGCATTAACATAATGGAATATTTAGGCACAATGAAGTGTACCATAAATAATAGCAAACCCAAGGTCATGTACAATAAGTTCGATAAAAAATAGTTCAAATCTGTCGGGAGGGATAGAAGATAAAGGTGGACGAAAGCAGGATGTTAGTGTATTTTGGAAAAAAAAGAACTATAATACATAGGATACCATTATGCCAATCTTTAAAAAAAATTGCGTACGTACTACCTCCTATGACGTGTTCCTGGTTCTTTAGGTAAAGTCACGTAGAAAAATAAAATCAATATAACAAATAAATATAAATTGAAAATAAAAGCAAAAAACCCACGAAAATAGTAAAATTAAATTAAAGATATACATTAATTGAAAAAAATCCTTTTATTTTACTATTTTTTTGTCTTTTTGTTTTCTATCTACATGACTTTACCGATAGAACCAAGAATTAAAATGCCTGCAGTCAAAATCCTATGACGTGGTTCGGAAACATGGTCATTACAATCATAAATGTAGTAAAAAGTGAAGAGTTTGAAAATAAACGTGGAGACGTGCACATTTGTCAGTACACCGAAACGATAAAGAGGAGCACATGGAATTGAGAACATGTGCAGGTCATCCATGATATTGGTCGCGAAAGCCTACGTGTAGTGGCAATGAATGGATGGAACGTGTCTCAAGTTACGTCCATGGAGGAGATGGGGATTGTGTGCAAGCGCAAGGTGGATTATTCAGTCACTGAATGGTGCCCAGTAGTTGCAGCTCGGGGAGGCTTTCATCCAGCAATTGATGTATCAGGGCTGATGGATATATTCACTAAATTTGTAAAAGGCCTTTACCATGCAAATGTCGCAATGATTCTGTGCTTGCCACTTACATAACGCCAGTGGCGTGTTTATCTCATCATTTTGCAGTTGACCCCAGCCACTCATTACAATTTCCCAAGGTCATTTTCTGCAGCACTTCTCTCTCACTCCAACGATGCAACATTTTTTTTGTCAGAATATGACTCGAATCAACTGAAATTATACCCCCTCTACTGTATTGTTTTTAAATGGAAGTTTATATTTTTTGTTTGTAAAGTTAGGGCGATCGTCATCTTTATTTGGAATTCGCAGTCATTAAAGGCGCAATTGATAAATGTAAAAACGTCCACGCAGATTCAAATAGCACACGCGTTGTATGGCATTAGGGAATGTAGCACTGTGACCTTCGCTGTCCTTAAAAAACACATGTACAGTACTGTAATATATCTTTTGAATAGTCCAGTAATAGGCGACGTTTCTGGAAATGGGAATTCATACCATACATATGCCAATATCTCTCACTTATTCAGGGGTTTCTTATATACCCCCCCCCACCCTTTTAAGGACAGTTAACAAATGTGTTGAATTATTTTATGGAGCAATTAGCTTCAGACAACTATTTATTTTACTAGGTTAGGCACCACTGAGCTCCTTTTCAGAAGCGACCTGGCAACTAACAATAGCTCAACGAAGTGGCTTATAATGTGAAACTGTACAGCAGCCACATATTATAAACGCGTGTTTGTGAATGTGGAGGAAAAACCCGGAGGACCCGGAGAAAAATCCACGCGACCACGGGGAGACACCACAAACTCTAAAGACATCACATGGTCGGGATCGAACCCATGACCTCCGGTATACCATCAGGCGATGTAGCGAATATCTCGCTACCGTGGCGCCCCATCGAGGCACATGAAACATTTAAAAGCACACAAGTGTATGTGTTAGACTCTACTTCATTGCGTCTTATAATCTGGCCAACCCGGTATATCGGTGCAACACACTCAACCACACCGGACAACTTATCCACCATATAGCCTTAACAGACGACGATTGAGTCAAGTTCTGTTCGCGAGCAGCACCTATGAAGGCCGGCACGGGCACACAAGGGGGGAAGGTGGTCAACACCACTCCCTTTGCAGCCCCAGTGTGGCTATGTTTACACACCAACAACAACAACCGCCATTCGCCACTTAATGAACGTGACGTCACCGCGGTGCTTGTGCCAGGCTACGTGCACTTTAAAGGCCACCGCACCAGGTCCACTAACGTACAACCACTAACCACGTGCACACACCACCCCGAGCCAGGGTCAACACGCCACGTGGTCTCTCTGCACACCCCCCCGCAACCCCCCCCCCCCCATCAGCCCCCACCGTGACCCCCCCCCGACCCCTCCCACCCACCAGCGGCGCCTCGCGTGACCATGAGCGCACGGCCGTCTCGACGCCTCCCATTGGCTGTTAGGCGGCTTCCGCGTAGCGGCGCTCGGCCAATGGCGAGGCTGGGCACAACGCGACACCCCCCCCCCCAAGACACACCCCCTCGCCCCCCCCCTCGACCCCAGCCCCCCCCCCCACCGTCTGTGGCAGAAGCTGAGCAGCAAGCGACGATGGCAGCTCCCGCAGGTAACGCGCCTGCCGCTCCCATCACTCGACAACGATTGATTCCAGTGGCGCACAGGCGCGCGATGTTGTTACAGACGCGGGCGTAAGGCTTGCCAGGCGTGCTGCGGTCTCGGCTTTGAGGGCAAAATATGTGCGTCGTGGGGGTTTGCGTTACGCCGGCGCACACGGTGGCCTACTCGTCACTTCGAATGGACACGTCCGTGTCAGCGGGGATCTTTAACGCACGACGTTCAAGTGTCCGTGCGTCTATCGCAACACGCCGGCAAGTGATGATAACTAGGGCGGCCTGCACGGGGTCGAACCACGAACCTCTTGACAACTTGCGGTGAACGCGCTCCGAGTCGACCGCGCGCAAGAACTCAGTGTTGTTGCACTTGACAGCTTGGCTCTTTTGTGGCGAGATTTTAATTGTTAAAACAAAAAACCACAAGCCTAGCGTTGAAAGCCAGGGTCATGCACGCCGCTGTCACGCTCCCTGTGATTGTCCCCTTGGCACAGGTGAGGCCGAAGATTCAGGCGTGGGAGTGACGTCACAATGCGCCACGGTTTTAGAGTTTTCGATTTGCCACCAACCCCAACTCTGTAAGCTTCGCTCTCGTGTGTGATGGATGGATATCACACACGAGCCCTTCGTTCATTGCCTTGCGTCCTCATGGCTCTCGTTAGTGGCGTTATCCCGTGGCCTCTAACGAGTCTTCTATTCCATTGGAACCTCAGTTGTCAAATATGATAATTTGTTTTTTTTTTACCATTTTATCTGGCAATTATCATATTTTGATACTGGCAAATGAGGTTCCAAGGGTGAGTCTTCTATTCTATATCTACCCAGCAGAGCTCACGGGTGCCCTGAGATTGCCTCGGGTCTGCGCGAGACACGGATTAGCAAGTTGCCTTTGCTGGGGAAAGTGATGCCAACTTCCATGGGGACATTTTGCAGTACAATACATGATGTGCACCCCCTGATGTCAATTTACTGCTGGATCGACCACATCTGCACTGGATGACCTCGTGCTCTTGCAGGTGGTAGGAGTGAGTCGATCATACTTCACGCTGCCCGAGAGAGGGTTGGTGCACACGGAGGGCAGTGGACGTGGGAGCATTGCACAGCACAATGCATTGCCCATACAGTGTGGGCCCTATTTTCTCTTACACTACCGCCTGTGTGTGGTGCATAGTGGTGTTCCATTCAAACACGATCTCGTGGGAAGGAATGAGTGAGAGAAACGCACCGACTACGTGAAATTTGAGAGCTCTGTATCTGCAGCATTCGCTGCACTGAGTGCATTCTGCTGAAGAGTTTACTGCATTGTAGTGTGCACTACATTGACAAAACTTTCCATATTCGTAACCAACAGTAAAGAAGAATGTAATAGGTTAGCTTTGCGTGCAGTGTCCTTTCTGTGGAGTAGGGAGCAGAATTAACAGTTTTATTTCTGCAATTAACAGATATTGACGAATAAACAATGCGGAGTTGTGTACTGCGTTTAGTTTTGTGTTTGAGTTAAAAGTCCAATCCCAGGGCTGTAAAAAGCAATGGCTGACTGATTTTTGCAGTGAAGCGACAGGTACTCCCAGCATTTTTAAGTTTGGGATGGGCGAGTAGCCCTCAGGACCCATTTGGGGTGGCCAATGTTTGCTGCCAATGTCCAACACTGGGGGAAGAGGCAGAAGTCCTATGTTTCCATGTTTACGTGAAGATGGACCATCGCCCAAACGTTAGCTCTCGTTTGATTTAGTCATTGAGTGTACGAATTACGATGGTGATAAAAGTGTTTGTGTATCTGTGTTTTAGTGATTTGCTTTTCTTTCCTATACTTTGCACTCCGATCGTGTGTTGTATTGTTTGTTGGTGATAACTTTCTGACTCGCCGCTGCTGCTGGACGTATGTGAAAAAAGCTTAATAGCTCATCGGATTTATATCCAGGATAAATTCTGATTCTGATTCTGTTGAGCGCACATTTGAGAGGTGTGGAAACCCTTTCAGTGCGTGCAACACAGCATATGTATCTCAGAGTTGCAAGGCTGTGCATGGTTTTAAAATCAAGTGCCTTAGTTTGTCACTTTATCAGATTGTATTTAATGTTTTTATACTGCACTATGATGGTACAAGTGATTATTAAAATAGACCCGTCATACATTTATCATGCAGTTTACAAGTTATTGTAATCTCTTTGTCATATCTCTAAATTGCCTTATTTCATTAAAATTTACATATATTGCGTGGTGTTTAAAAAAAAATTGGTACCCTAAGTATTTCACATTAAAATCAAAGTGTGTCAAATCTGTTAAACTACATTTGATCATTTTAAATTGAAGCTGCACACATGTGCATTACCTGACAGAATGTACATATGGGTTGTCGGGAACTTTATGTCGTGTACTTTATGGTGGCTTGTTGTGAATCTAATGTGTATGTGGTGTCATAATTTTTTCCATATCGAACTAGCAGCCCACACGTTCTTCAGTTATCTCCACCCATCCCTCCAGCCAGCCAGAAAAAAAGCTTTTGTTAAATATACATTATGATGGCATATGCGCGGGATCCATGGTCAGGTTGGAGGGTTGGTGGGGGGGATGCATGATGTTCGCACGCACTTTTTCAATGCTATAGGATGAGGGTGACGTCATCACGCAGATGTGCGTGGTGACATCATTACCGTGCATGCGCACTTATGCGCCAGCCAGGCAGACAAAAATCCAGGCAGCAAAACTTTTAAAAAATATAGAATGAGTGTGTGACTGATGTATATCACATGCTAGAAAGGCTAGAACTTAGCTGCAATTTGGCAAAAGTTCAATTGAGTCCGTTCTTATAACTGAAACATTCCAAAGAATATTGTTTTTAAAAATTAATTTCTCAGCAATGGGAAGCCTGGAGTTCTAAAATTCCTTAGTCTCATCCTAAACGCTTAAAAATCTATTCCGGTATATACTACATCAGTGAACAAATTAATTTGCCTTTTGTGAAGTGAGATGCTAAAGCGGATAGAAAACAGGTAAAGCCCACTGACAATTGTTGCTTAAAGTTGTAATATGAGTGTATGATACTAACATACAAAAATGACTAGATCATCCTAAATGTCGCTTTTAAAACAAAATAAATATAAGAGTGTTTTAATCAAAGTGTATTTCATAAGGTGTTGTAGTGCTGGATTATGTTTTGGAATGACCTTGAGGGATGATATTTTCATAAATGCTTGCATAAAATAATTTGCGCTTTCGTGGTGGTCTCGAGACTTTATGAAATGCAGTAATGCGATTATTGTAAAACAACAAAATAGGAAGTTTGCATGGAAGAGTGACACATAGCACATACAACATTTATCACATGACCATGTATCACATGTTTCTGTGTTGCAAGTTGATGTGGCATTGATCATATATGCACTATATGTAGTGTTTCAATTATTTTCAAGTTAGTTTGACTTGCGTGTGCATGTATAATGACCTTGAACTGGTGTAACATTCAACTATATAATTAGCTTCGACTTTTGGGGGTTAAGCAATCAGCAGCTGGCTTGTGAACTGGACATGTGAATTGTTTTTCAGCGACAGAAATTGTGGTGCATCTGGACTGCATTTGTGACATAAATGTACTTGTGTCTGGTTTTTAATGTTTATACGATATTGCATGTCATACTGGCTAATTCCTATTTTACAGCTCGGTTATAAAAACACATTGAATTTGTACATGTACGTTTAAATCTAGGATAGCCAGATGCAATGCAAAAATGAATTAAATGTTTCTGTTGTAACATGTGATATTTTTTTTGTTTCAGAAAATCATTTTGCACACATTCTTCAGGTGCTTGACTCTAAAAAACCTGAAGGGAAGTTTTTTAACCTTGTAAAATTACAAGACCCCCGATACGGTGCGTATACATCACCACCTAGTTTAGACACGCTGAACAAAATCTCTGATTTTATGAAAATAGTTTTCTATTGGAACCATATAAATGTATCTGCGGTATATATATCTCAAAAGCAGTTAAGAAATGTTTAATAATGTTATTGGGAGTGAATCTGCCATTACCTTAATGAGGCTATTGGGAAAAAAGCTATCACAATTCTGAGGAAACAAATGCTATTAGGTGTGTAAATTTACAAGTGTGTCCAACAAATGGAAACTAAATCCATCAAACAGTCTTGCTTCATCAGCCACTCCAATCCATGGAGACATAGTGTATGTAATAATCCAGTTGGTATACGATAAAAGGTTCACTAATACGTGGAATGTGTTGTGTGAGTGCAGAACGGCTTCCATATTCTATTCGTGTGCTGCTCGAGTCTGCCGTGCGCAATTGTGATGGATTCCACGTGCAAAAGGATGATGTCTTCAACATCATGGAGTGGAAGGAGACACAGAAGAAAAGTGTCGAGATCCCCTTTAAACCAGCCCGCGTCATTCTGCAAGACTTCACGTGAGATCCGAATTGAGCTGCATGAAGCTGGTGCTAAATTTACTGTTTTATGATTAAGTCCAGTGTAATAGTTATCGTCTATGATTTTAGACAAGCAAACAGGAATAGCACATGGATTATTTCAAAATGTTATGGTGTCTCTGGTTTATGTAATAAGTTAACTAGGAAGCTGATAACACTAGTTTTAATGTTAACACATTTATTGTCCCCTGTTCAAAGAATGCGATGACATGTTTTTTATCTGCTTCAAATCTAATGTCGGTGATGCATCGTAATGTTTTTGATAGTTTCCAAATGCACTGTCAATTTGTCTGATGGCATTTTAATAATTATGTGTAATTTAGTTGCATATTGAAGTGTCTACCCAGGTCACTCTTGAAAATGAGACTATCCTGGTCTCTTTAATTCTCTACCTAGTTAAACAAAATAAACTTGAAACTTGTCTTAATTAATTGATGTAACCTTTCATAGGCTTTGAAGATGCCTTGAAAGACGAATATGCAGTAAAGCCCTGCCATTTTGCCAATATTTAAAATGGAACTGACTCATAGTAATTAAAACATTATACAGTCCTTGAGTTTTTTTATGTTCATGAAGGCCACCTGTAATTTGTAGGTGCCTCTGGCAAAAAAAGACATTGACATTTAATTGCATTAATACTTGTATTTTCCATCCTTAGTGGTGTCCCAGCTGTGGTGGACTTTGCGGCTATGAGAGATGCTGTAAAGCTGCTCGGAGGAGACCCTGAGAAGATAAACCCCATTTGCCCTGCTGACCTTGTCATCGACCACTCTATTCAGGTTGACAGCAGTGGAAAGTGAGTAATTTTCAAGGATCGTTTTCTCCTTGAACTGCATTATCCTGTTATATATGATGAGAGTAAATTGTTTACATTTTAATGAACAACCGCCCGAGGTTAAATATTAAACCATATCTAGTACGGCATTCCCTCGTTATCCACTGTCTATGATTTTGGCTATGCACGAATCATATCTGGAACCCTAAACAACTGCATCGAGAGAGAGCAAGTGATGAGATAAAGTGACGAGAGAGAAGAATATGACGTGAGAAAGTGATATAGAGATGTGCTATTATGACAATGTTCATGTATTTAATAGCTTATGTATTTTTAATGGTAATTTATTCCAAATATAGGTTTTTGTAGGCCAATATCATTATCCGTGAAATTTACTATTCACGAGCATCTCTGGAACGTATCCCTCGTGAATAACGAGGGAGTATTGTAATGTCACAACAAAAACACTGTTGAGGAAAGCAAGAGGAATTCACTTCAATTATCCTTCCCGAGTTAGGGCTGGGGAACTCTGGTATGGTGTTGTAGTGTTACGAAGTGAAACAGAGGAGAATGTGGTTGGATGGGATGGAGGGAGCTTGAGCCATGGACCTGTCCTGGTTGGAGAACATAAAAGGAAAATTAACAAAGAAATGGCAACTAAACTTAATACATTCATTCCATTGCATCCAGAACCGAAAGTCTTAACAAGAATCAGCAACTGGAGTTTGAAAGGAACAAGGAGCGTTTCGTTTTTCTAAAGGTGAAGTATAATTCTTTTCTAAGTATTCTATTTATTTAATATACTGAACCAAGCAATTGTATACTGTTTGATTTAATTTAAGGCTCATTTTGAAAGTTATCTGTGGAGTCATTCTGAACAATTTTGAAAAAAGTCCAAGTACTGTGAGTGGTGAATGTGCAAGAGAATGGTTATTGTGTTCTGGTCTCAGCTTGAATTCCATTTTAATAATTAACTAAAAGTAATCTGTAAAACAACTGTCCCATCCTAACTATAGTGAGCTAGTTGTTTTTTGACAAATATTTAGCAGTGGACTCTTGCCTGTTCAACAATACATTGTTGTAAATGTTTCTAGATACAGAGTAATTCGAAAATATGATGAGAGTAACGAAAAACTTTACACACGTAACCTTTAAACACTGGCTTTTATTTTTTAAAACATATATCTGATGAAACGATTAGAATAAATTTAAACAGTGATGACAGCATTAACTTGAGCATTCATTTCTGGATAATTTGCCTTTTCATAATGGAGTTGTTGAATTAGTGAATATTAAATGCATTTACCCTGGTTCTGTACGTTGCTTGTAGTGGGGGTCCCAGGCATTCAGGAATATGCAAATCGTGCCACCTGGTTCAGGCATCGTGCACCAGGTTAACCTTGAATATCTGGCGAGGCTGGTGTTTGACCTGGGTGGCCACTACTACCCAGACAGTGTTGTGGGCACTGACTCGCATACTACTATGATCAATGGACTCGGCATACTTGGATGGGGTAAGAATTTCCCTCTTTTTTATGCCTCTGTTTGCTTGCTCCTGCTATGGCGGGCAAAAAGGGGTCAAAGTATATTGACGTGTAACCCTTGATCCAAGTGATGTTGTTTAAGATTAATGGATAAACTGTGCCATAATTGTAGTCTGTGTCTTTTAAAGACACGGTATGCAATCGGGACTGCAGTGTGTCTATGCGTTCTTTCATTGTCTGCTTATCTATGGGAGCTACAATATATAATTATCAGGACACTCCAGAAAACAATGTTGGTGCTCAGTGAGGCCTTTCTCAGTGAACAAGTGTAAATTATAAGAGCATGGTTTTGTTGGTCACCTTTTATGTCACCTGTGATCTACTGCCAATGTGAACTGACGGCCCATATCATGACGAGCAAAATACATTTATTCCATTATAACGTTCCAGTTTGTGGCTCTGTGCAGAATAGGAAGAGCGAAATTGCAGATAAAATAAAATGTGGAACAGTGCAATACTGCAGTTAATGGGAGCTCTATCCATTGTGTTAGTAACGTTAACTTTTTACAGCTGATTAAAAGATAAAAGAAGAATGTGATGCAGCCCAACCTGTATAACAAGATGTGTGGATAAGAGGGTCATGGATTAGAAGAGTTTAGCTTTATTATAACAGGATTTTTTGTTAATCTTTTCTTTCTCCCTTGGAACTGCAGTGATTTGCTGTTGACTGCTATGCTGCACCATTGGAGCTTTGTAGTTCAACCTCATTTCTCTTGAAAATTAAGTGAAGCAATTGAGTGATACACAGTCCCTACAGTGCAAATACAATAAAGTTGGACAGTTTAAATTTATTTTGTTGATGGAATGTTTTGCTCATCAGTAAATAACAAACATTTAAAAGCGATTGTTTACTGTAAAAAAAAATCTATTGTACAAAAAATATAATTTGTGAACTATTAATGTTTGTTACACACAGCGGCCAAGCTGGGTTTATTTGCTCAAGATAAAAAAAAGTTTCAGATTTGAAACCTGGTTGTGGATGTAATTTAGTATCCACAAGTGCATTCGAAACTTTAAATCTAATCTCAGGAAAGTATACATACCCTTCTGGATAAGTGCTAAATAGTGTCTGAGATGACCAGCATTCAACATATTCAAAATATACCAAGCTTTAATATTTTCACTTATCATGAGTTTGAAGTACTTGAATAACACTGTAAATTAATTCTTTACATTTCTCTGAAGTAATACATTCTTGTTTCAGAGGTGTTTATACAATCGCTATAATCAAATCCTGATCAGCCGATGGGAATCAGATTCTGCTACAAGCCAGTCAGATACTACCATCTCAGATTGGATTTGGATAAGATTTAATTGCACTTGATCAAACCCAAACCATGCACCCCCTTGAATGCATGCATTGTGTGGTTGGATAAGTTACTTATTTTCTCAATTAGAGATTGTGTACGTTAGTTGGACATAACCAATCAAACTTATAAATGTTGTGACCAAAAACATGACTTTATTTTGTCAGGTGTTGGTGGGATTGAGGCAGAGGCGGTGATGCTTGGGCAGCCTATTAGCATGGTGCTGCCAGAGGTGGTGGGATACAAGCTGGTAGGCAAAGTAAACCCAATTTCCACCTCAACTGATGTGGTCCTCACCATCACGAAGGTTAGTAGAACAGAAATTGATTCAAGATAATTTGTTGCATTACAGTGTTATGTCATGGATTCCAAATAATGAAGCAAGTAATGGGACCATTTGAAATATAGAGTCAAGGTCAGATGTAAAAATTTGAAAGCAGGTATGGTTAATGTTTGAAAAATGTAATTATTGATGTAAATTTCTTTTAAATGGACCAGTATTTTATGTAGATGATTTCATAGCTATATTATTGGGTCTTTCGGTAAAGTCACGTAGACGGGTTAAAAGAAAATAACAAAAAACTCCGACGTTTCGATCGCAACACAATTTAAAACCCTTATAAATGGTTTGCCTTGGGAGCTAACCTCCCTTTTCCTGAAGACGACCGCTTGTGTTGCAATCGAAACGTCGTAGTTTTTTGTTATTTTTAGTTATTTTCTTTGAACCTATCTACGTGACTTTACAGAAAGACCCAATAATATTAATTCCTGCAGTCACGAAAGCTTTAAGTCAACAATGAGCATCATTTTGAATACTTTTCAGCCGATTCACGTGATATTTACGGCAAAACTTTTCCACAGTAATAAGTTACACAATTCTGACGCAACGTTTTAAATAAATGTTTTGTGTTATAATGTTACGTGATTTTGTTTCCTCGTTGACATGTGTGACAACAGCATGATTAAACATTGTATGTAATAATGAAGCTGCAGCAGTCCTTCAAGCATGTGATCTCGGCTTATCTGTTTGAATGTTTTAATATTCATTTCCCTTTCCTTCCCGTGCATACCGCAGCACCTTCGTCAGATCGGTGTGGTTGGCAAGTTTGTGGAGTTCTTTGGGCCTGGTGTGCTGCAACTTTCAATTGCGGACCGTGCAACCATCGCCAATATGTGTCCCGAGTATGGTGCCACCGTGGGTTTCTTCCCCGTGGATGCTGTCAGCATCAAGTATCTCCAGCAGACGGGCCGGGACCAGGAAAAAATCACCATCATTGAAAAATACCTGAAGGCTGTGAAGATGTTCAGGGACTTTGGTGATTCTTCTGAAGACCCAGACTTCACTCAGGTCTGGTTGTGATATGTGTTTGATAAAAGCATTATGTTTTGGTGATCCACTCACTTGTAGTCTACACAATTGTTTTCTGAATGTGATTAACGCTTGTCTTTTGTTCAAATGTAACATTGCCCATATAAATGCTTTGGCTATAATGAAGCAACTGGCTCCTACAATGTAAAAGGACAGTGTGTTTTTATATATATGGTTGTTTAATCTGCACTGAAAGTCTCTTATTCTATATGTATATTTGTCACCAAGTAATACTACGTATTTTTATATTTTACCATTTCTATACATAGGTATTGCTTTGTAGAGTCTATGTTTTATTTATGCCCCTCCCCACTCATATAACTCATTGCTATCCAAAGCAGCCCTTAGCTATGAGGACAAATCTTAAGCTGGACTGCCTAATGCATTTTTGGAATCCATTTGAACTGAAATATTGAGCTGTAATTTTAAAGTGTTAGACATTTTTGATGTTTATTAATTTTCAGAGAGGATATCAAATGTGCCAGCAGAGGCCTTTGGAGAAAATGAGCTGATTCATTTCTTGTTATTTGGCTTAACATTCACTGCAATGTAAACTGGCGTGGCTGGCACATCTCGGTTTCATGTTGTTGTGTGTGCTCGGGTGCTACGTGTGTTAGGTGGTGGAGTTGGACTTGGCCTCAGTGGTGCCCTCCGTAAGTGGCCCCAAGCGACCTCATGATAGAGTTGCCATTGACGACATGAAAGTGGACTTCCAGAGCTGTCTCAACGCTAAGGTCATTATCTCAAAGCACATGTGTTTGCTATAGGAAACAATTAGTTGTATTAATGACAGTTAATACTGGTTCTTGTGTAGTATACAACATTCATCTCTATAGAGTGCCATTCATATGAACTGGAGAAGCTTCGTATTCTTCACAAGTAATTTTTTTCTGAAAACTGGAAACATAATTTGTTAACACCCTTATGGTTGAATGTATCTTTTAATATACTTTCGGTCATAGCATTGTGTTTAAAGTTAATATTTAACATTAAGTGCAGCTGTAGTGCCTTACCATTAAATAAACCTTATTAGATGGATCCTGCACCTTGCATTTAATATTAAGGAGTTATTAATTTTCTACGTTGGTGTTGCAATTGTAAAAGAAAATGTGTGAAAGGCAAAGGTCATTTGTTTTACCCTTTTCAAAATGATCCCCTTGTAATTTGTACAAAAAAGCCCAGGGGGGAACATGAGAGAAGCACTGTGGATTAACAGTGTGATTGTGCAATGTACTCTGTTGATTTAAATCTAGATTGAAAACTCATTTCTTTAAAATAGCTTTTTGTTTTTAGTTTGTTGTCCTTCCCCTGCACTGATTATCACGGTTGGCTACGTATGGCGTAAAATAAATTAATCATATGTACTCATACTCATCTACATTGGGATGTCAGTGAAAACAATATAATTTTTCTGTGCTGGTACATTCAGTACTACACATCGATAACGGTTTTAAGAGCATTAATTTCGTGTACTATATATTGAGACATTAATATTACATTCAAACTCACTCCAGTGGTGGTATAGTCTTTTTTTGTGAAAGTAACATGCATTTTGTTTTGTCAATCCAGGTTGGTTTTAAAGGGTTCCAAATACCGTTGGAGAAACAGAAAGATGTGTCTCTCTTCAAATATGAGGACAAAGAATACGAGCTGAAGCATGGCTCTGTGGTGATTGCTGCCATCACCAGCTGTACCAACACCAGCAATCCCACAGTGATGCTGGGAGCAGGTATATGGGTGAACATTAGCACCTTTTTAAAAGTGTTCTTAGGTTGATATATACATCAATTACATCTATGTATAATCCTAAGTTGTCCATGTACTGGCTCATCTAATGCTGGCTCATGGCTATTAAATCCTTAACATGCCATAGTTTGGTCTCTGACTAAGGCCTTTTCATTAAGATATCTGTTGAATCCTAAAAATCCTAAGTGTATAAGTAAATAAGTAATGTTTTCATTTAAAATGTGCCTTTATATACATAATATGAATACAGCTATGAAGACATATACAATATATAAAACACACGCACGCAGTCCTGTCTAAAATACTATTTACTATATTACCATTTGTTGATCATAACTTGAAACCCGGACATCATAAATATTGGCAAGCTCATGGGCAGTGTGTAATAATGCTTTGTGCTGCCCCATATGTGCTCGTTCATTGTTTATTTTTTAACTCGTTTTGCATCTCTTATTAATACAAACATTGAAATAAAGATTTTTTAAAATTAGAAATGTAGTGATGTATATTGGGTCACTACGGCGTTTAGCGCCAGCTACTGATAGAAGATGTATCGTTAAAACCCGCCACCACCCGACACAGCCAACTAGTCAGGGTTGTCACGTAAACAGAACATGCCAATTCGTCACTAGTACAGCACACTTGTGTGTTGGAGAGCCAAGCCACAACATTTACAAACCGAATACGACGTTTCGCCAGTATTTACAACTAGCTTCATCAGGTGTCAGCCAGATTTGTGAAGAAGTTTTACTGTTTCGTTCCTTTCTAGAGGCGTAGATGTGTTGATCATCCTTCTGCGTTCTAACCCAAAAACCTCTTATGGATGATATTGGTCACGAAAGCCTACGTGTTAAACTGATAGAAGAGTGGAACTACGAGTGTTAGAGCCTCTCTCTGACACCAGAGTATGTTATGGCATGGAAGGGGGCCCTAGGGGGCATGGTTCTGGTGACTGTCAGAGAGAGGGCAGTTAAGGACATGACAGTCTGGTTGAATCTGAGAGGGCACGTGACCAGGACAGGGTAAGAATGTGGGCCAAAGGTGGCGAGAGGGACACGTGGTGTATGGGCCAGAACCTTCTGGGAGGATCCAGAAGGGGGCGTGGCCGAGCGCGGAGCCAGGCCATGCTCACGGGCATAAAAGGGAGGTCCCAAGAGCCGATCAGGGCTGTCTTCTGGAATGGAACCCGCTGTGCAATGTCTCTTCGGTCTCCTGTCTTCACGCTCGGCATCGTGGGTCAGGCAGTGTGTTAACTGACCTGACCCGGTTATATAGTTACCCCATGGTGGTTACCACTATATAGTTACCCCGTTCTACATTTATATAGTTACCCCGTTGTGGGCAGATAATAAACGTGTTGCCTCCGAAGTCAAATGAACCCACTACATAAAGGTTGGATGTTTTATATTTGTTAAGATTTGAGTAGAATTGAATGATTTCATATTTCGTCTTTGTTATAATTGTGTCTAGTTTACCAAGCCAGTGCTCAGACCATAGCTCCTCTTCTAGATTATACACGTGTTAACAACACAAAGCTTATTCACATGGTTGAGCAGTTGAACATACATTAGAAAATTTGTGTTTAATTTTCTGCATTTTCTAGGTTTGCTCGCAAAAAAGGCGGTGGAGGCAGGGCTGAGTGTGAAGCCCTACATCAAGACTAGTCTGTCTCCAGGTAGTGGCGTCGTGACATACTACCTCAACTCCAGCAAGGTCATGCCCTACCTCCAGAAACTTGGGTGAGTTTCTCGCACACGTTAGTGTACACTCTGCAGATACTCGTGTCAATCAACGTGAACAGTTTTTCTTTCATACGGACCACTGTTACACGGCTTTAGAAGATAAGTTATCCACAAAGCTTGGGGGGGAATTTGTGTCAGCTAACCACGTGGCTGCCTTTCCTGCTTAACAGTGGTTCCTCTTTGTGCCTCTGAGTCATTCCCTCTGAGGTTGATCGAATACTGTGCAGCATGTTAAGAGTTGCAATTATAATTATATTTCAGTATTTAAACCTTATGGTTAAGTAATAAGATTCATGATAACAAACTTTTTCTCACCTTGAGCCATTCCAGCCATGCGCTATCATGTCCGCTTCTCCAAATCAACATCCACTCAGCTTTTATCAAATATTGCAATGCACTTGCCTCTATTGTTTTTTTATTACATTTGAGGGGGGAATGATGGAATGCGCTGACAAATAACTATCTGTTGACAGGTTTGAGGTTGTGGGCTACGGCTGCATGACTTGCATTGGCAACAGCGGACCTCTCCCAGAGCCCGTTGTTAAAGCAATTGGAGATGTAAGAAATGGCACCTGCAATGTTATTTAAGCATGGCACGTTTAACTGTGCTATATAGATGTTTCTTCTCCGTCTAGCATGTTCTGGCTATATTGCTCAACAGCTTATATAAAGCATGGCTTCTGTGTTGCTGACAGAAAGACCTGGTGGTCTGTGGAGTTCTTTCGGGCAACAGGAACTTCGAGGGCCGGATTCACCCCAACACACGCGCCAACTACTTGGCATCACCCCCACTGGTGATCGCCTATGCCATTGCTGGAACTGTTGACATCGACTTCCGAATTGAACCATTGGGTTTGTTGTCATTCCTTGAAACTTCTTCGTCTGCATTCACAATGTCTTACCAGACATTTTTTTACGTTTGTGTAAAGCACTGCCCATGCATTTGGATGGGATACACGACTGGGGTGGACGGTGGGTAGGGTGGGAGGCGTGATGTCGGCACGCACGGCTCAACGCATGGACACGTGCATTTGCCCGCACGCCAGCCAGCAAAACCTTTTTTTAACGAAGTGTAAAATTAATGCCAACAGTCACTCGCACTCAAGCTACTCGCCAACACTCACACTCTGAACTTATTCACTTACAAATAGTCAGAAGGACTTAACAGCACTCACCAGCATTTACAAGTGTGACAGAATGAATAGTACACCGTCCTATGGATCCGCAGCCATGGATAACGTCGGTGATCAGTGACATCTGAGCCCATCCTGCGTGCCCCCCCTTTAACCAACTCATTCCGACCAGCGTGGTGAATTATTGTTAATCAACCCACATCACCGACAATCCAAAGTGAATGGAGAAGCCTTCATAACCATCCATCTTTGGGAATTTATCACATTAACATAACTAGCCCCGCCCACTTCATTTATGACCCTTGGGCTACACCCATTTTAAACCTTTAAAACAGTCTGCCTCAGCAGTTTTCCCCCTCTTTATTTCCTCCAGATGTCGATCGCTTGTGTTGTGATCGAAACGTCGTCGTCGTTTTTTGTTTACTTGATTTTTATAAATTTGAACCTATCTACGTGACTTTACCGAAAGACCCAAATAATATAGTATGGTATGATTATGGTGCCAACATTTCAACCACACTGTGCAAATTGCCACTTAATGATAATTCTTTAACAATGCAACTTACCTGAATGGACATAATGTGTATACTTACCATTGCATTGCTGCCTGTTTAGGTATAAATGCGGATGGAAAGCCAGTGTACCTGCAAGACATTTGGCCGACCAGAGAGGAAATCTACGCAATAGAGAAATTGAACGTGATTCCCAGCATGTTCAAGGAGGTCTACAGCAGCATCAAGGTCAGCTTACACCACTTACGGGATTGAAGCCTTTGAAATTAAGTAACGTTGAATGTAAATGAGAAAGTGATTCTTATTTATTTTGTTAAACGCACATTTTATTAGGATTGGGAGATGTTTTTTTTTATCACCCTTGAGGCTTTTTGCAAACACTTTACAGTAATTTTGTGTATGACTTGCCTTTAAAGCACCTACTGTTTTTCTTTAATTGCTTTTTAAAACATTGTGTTTGATGATTATTGTAGTCTGGAAGGTAAATGCTTTCATCATGAGTTTGGATTTTATATTAATAAATTCAATTGTGTTTTGTTTATGTGCAATCAAGGTAGATTTATTTGTATTCTTTCTTTTCCCCAGACGGGGAATGAATGTTGGAATTCCTTGGAAGCCCCGATCACGATGCTATATCCTTGGGATCCATCCTCAACATATATAAAGTCTCCTCCATTCTTTGAAAACATGGTAATTTGTTAAATTCACACGTGATGTTCACTTGAGTAATTTTTACATGTGTATTGCTGTGTAAGCAATGTGGTTGTTTTTGTATGTCATTACAAATTGTGCATTATACTGAATTGGAAATAAAAAACAAAAACAAACCTCATCAAATGTATCATTTGCAATGCCTTATATCGATAAAACGATATGTTTTGCTGTTATATATCAGTGATGTTAAAATGGATACAAATATATATTTGTCTATTATACATTTTTGATAAGACAATCTTATTCGTGGATACGTTGAGTTTGATTTGTATTTTCTTACCACTGCTAATCCAGTCCCTAAATTATTTGCTTTGTTTTATACTGTATTACATTTAAAAAGGTGAGGCTTATTTAACAGAAGCTTATTTAAACACCATATTGTGTTTGTGATTCCACATGAATGGGTTTGTAATGTCATCGATGAAACACAATGACGCTCCTCTCACTTATACCATGCAGATGAGGGAATTGCCTCCATGTCAGCCCATCTCCAATGCATACGTTCTGTTATTCCTGGGAGACTCCGTCACAACGGACCACATCTCCCCAGCTGGAAACATTGCCAGGAACAGCTCTGGTGCTCGCTACCTTGAGGGACGGGGGTGAGGGTCCATACGTTTTATGTCTTCTGTAAAATGCATTTATCCGTATATAATTCTGTCATAACATTTAGTGTTCAATGGATGCATTGGCTAATTGCTGGGGTTGTTATTTCATGTAAGCTAGTTTGAACTGTTGAATGGACAGGTAGTATGGGCAGGTGGTAGATGGTGACTTATTTTTACTTATGGTTTGTGTCGGTGTACAAATGAGATCTTGTGATTCCATGTTGACATGTACACTTTGCACTCCTTTCTCCAGAATCACCCCTCGAGAGTTCAACTCGTACGGCTCTCGCCGAGGCAACGATGCTGTGATGGCTCGAGGGACGTTCGCCAATATCCGCCTCTTCAACAAGTTCATTGGAAAGGCTGAGCCCAAGACGATTCATTTACCATCAGGAGATAAAGTAAAAGGAATAACTGTATATAAACAAATACTTGGTCTGGTATAATATTTGTAATAACATGTATGTTGAGAATAGGTTTTCCCCTTTTTTCTGGCAACAAAACATGTGTTAAGATGTTAAAACACCAAACTGAAACCTTGACAAGGAATCATGTCTGCATTAGCCACAATACTTGTGGTCAGAATTCAAAACAAAAAACATACTCTGATACGATATGCATTGTCTTTGAAACTGATTGGTTCACACCAAAGACAGCTTTCTTTGAAACCTCGTCTCAAATGGTGTTAGACCAGAGGACGCCAAAAAGGCATGTATGTTGTTCTTTTTAAATCCTTTATATTAAGTTCGCTTGCTTGCTTACGACCATGCAAATCTTTCGGTCGTTTTTTAACCCACTTCCCGTGATCCAATCGAGCTGACATTTTCCACACAGACTCGTTGTGCGTGACAATTATTGTTCGTGAAATTTTTTTTCCAAAATTTTACACTTTTTAGGACAAAAATATTATATTTAATTACCAATTGCTTAATGGTGCAATGCAATCATCTGACCCATAGGTGGCAGCCATTTCAAGCCAGAGGACGAGAGGACTCTAGCCGACACGCATATAAAGGATTTATAGTGAAAAACTTTGTTTTTACGGGTTATACTTGTTAAATATCGTAAAACATAAACTTTTTTTCTGACTTCAGTTGAAATAAAAGCAACCTTTGTAATGTGTTCACAGCTGGATGTATATGATGCGGCAGAAAAGTACAAGCAGGAGGGGCATCAGCTCATCATCTTGGCAGGAAAAGACTATGGCTCTGGCAGCTCGCGGGACTGGGCAGCCAAGGGGCCCTTCCTTCAGGTTGGTGCAGCTCTGCGTCCACCTTCTTAGCTATAGGGCGTTTGATTTGTTTACATGAACCGATCACTGTGCAAGCATACATCCTCTTAATACTACGTGCGCACTACAAAACGGTAGTTACTGACAATAATAACATACGGTGATAGTATTGCATTATATTATAATGTTATTATAGTGTTGTTTGTTTTAACTTTTTTTATGTAACGGTTGAATGTATTTGGGTTTAGTTGCTGACCAATGGTAGGAACTATTACTCCTTTGGTCGTGCTGTTTGTTGCTATCCGCTTGATGCGCTGGGCCTTTAGACTTGTGTTCAAGCAACTGTGATAAAAAAAAAGATGTATCCACCAGGGTAATTTCATTGAGCATGCATGTTGTTGACTTGTTTTTCTGAGCTTAATATGAATCACAATAGTATGGGGCAGTCAGTACGATGTGGGCCGTTTGTATTATAAATCTGCTGCATTGTTGAGTGGTATGGTCACAGATGGGGCCTGTGCTGAATATTTAAACATTTGTTTTATTCTATAATTCATTGCAGAGGTAATAATGTAATTGTTCAAAATGCAATGGGAATTTCCCATTCATCCCTAATAAGCAAAATGCCTTTCCTGAATATGGTATATGTAAACTAACTTTAAACACTCCAGTGTAAGAACATTCTAGCAAGGTGTTTCAAAACAAATTATAAACCAAATATTGTAAATATATTGCAATATCATTTTGCAGTAAACCGTCATCAAATTTTCAGTGAGTAAAATGCAGTCCCTTGACACATGGGCGATGTCTCTTCTCTTTCCTAGTAATTCATCATTAAAAAGATTTGCAGTGCTCTCTGTATCAGTACGTGGTTCATCAAGCTCGGTGAATAAACATACAGTACTGACACTGTTTCCACTTTATTGCAGGGCATAAAGGCGGTCTTGGCAGAGAGTTTTGAACGAATTCATCGCAGCAACCTGGTAGGCATGGGCATCGTGCCCATGGAGTACCTGCCAGGGCAGACTGCCGAGACGCTCGGCTTGACAGGACGGGAGCGCTACACCATTCACATCCCGAAGGAGCTGCGGCCCAGGATGACCATCACTGTGGAGGTGGGGCAGTGGACGATGATGCATTTTTGTGCTGATGTACCTTTATAGATCCTGCTGTATTTCACCTTCAAGATAAACAACATTAATCAAAGTGATTATTATTTTTAAAGATATTTATTTAAAAGACTGCGTGCCGTATGCTTTGATCTTTCAGTATAAACACACTGACACATTAACTAATTTACGAGGTTTTTGTAATGCTTTTTTGACCAAGGTGATGAAGTCATATGTGCATGTTCCCACTAACAGCTTAAATAGTTTGTTTCTTGTTGTTGATTGTTTTTCCAACAACAAACCATGGGACGGGAATATATTGAGGATACCCTGTATTGAAAAAGAGAAAGAAACGGGAAAGGGAAGGGATACCCTGACGGAAGTCCCCAAGAGAGACCGAGATGAGCAGTACGATGGAGTAGCAGACAGGGACGGGTGGAGGGGGGAAAGGAATGACCGGGACAGGATGTTGGGAATGAGACGGTAATGAGAGGAGAGGGAAGAAAAGGAGGAGAGAGAAGAAATTAGTAACAAGAAGTGTCACAGGGGGTGGGGAGAGGGCAGGGAATTCAGTGGCGGTGGCCACATGACTTATAGCAGGCTTGAGATCATTTATATGTAGATTAGTCGCCATGTTGCTGCATTTGTATCCATGTTCCTGTAACATTTTTTATCGTGTTTTTTTAGAAAAAGCAAATGTTATCCCAATTGACGTTTAACTGGTTAAAGATAATTTGTTATCCATTTTGATGAAAAACACACATTTTTATTTTGCATACTTAACATATTTTTCGAGAAACTATTTTAAATTGAGAGCAGAATTTTGCTTTTATGAATAAAAAGATTATGATATTGATTGTGGCAACACAGATTGAATCGCAATGAATGAGGAAAAGTAATAGTGTGTCTATTTTTCTCAGATATGCATAGCAGTGAAAATAACAAAGAAAATAACAAAAAAACAAGGTGGTTGATTAGGGGGGAGGTCCCGGAATTGACAGGCGTGAACATGGGAGAAAGCCATAAACAGCGAATGCCTTACATGCCACCATACCGTGTCACAACTGTTGCAGAGACAACATCTGTCCTGCAGTGTTTGCTCTTTTACAGTAACCTACCATTGGACTACGGGTCACTGAACTCTGTACACCATTCCAGTCCCTTCCTCCATCCTGTAAACAATCTGATGACTGCATGCTCCAAATCCACACTCGTCTTTTGTTAAGCATATGTTTACATTTATACTCGTTTTTCTTATTAAGGAACACTGTTAAACGCATTTCCTGGAATACTTAATAAATGTATCCAAAAATTACCAACCAGTTTTATATTATCATAAATGGTATTGACAATCGTCTTTTTTTACATTCCGCTTAAAGCTGTACCCTATTCCATTCATTCGGCATGGTTTACGTGCCCATTTTAGAAATCATGATAAATTCAAATGTTTTGTACAATTAATGTGTACATGTATGTTGAATTTCTGTCTCACTGTACCTCGCCAACCATGCTAATCGGAGTTGTGTTTGAAATGGTGATAGTCGGACTAAAACTTTTTGTGTTTTTTTGACAGCTTGACTCTGGCAAGAGCTTCAAGGCAGTGGTGCGTTTCGACACTGACGTGGAGCTCGAGTATTACCGCAACGGAGGCATCCTCAACTACATGATTCGTAGAATGCTCTGAGTCATCCCAGCATTGTTTTGAATCAAAAATAATTTCACATGCCTTAAATTGTTGTGCCTAATCTGCTTATTCTGATCCTGCATTTAAACAGCTGCACTGCCTTATACATTTATTCAGTGTGGGTGGCATAATGGTTGTGGCATCGTGGAGGTATTTCTGTGCATTCATTAACACACAGAGGGTTGGTATGTTTACTGGCGTTATTTTCTCTATGTTTGCAGTTACTATTCAGCATTATGGACGAACCAGCAAATGTGGTTGTTTCAATTGTATTTTTATTTTAAATAATATTTTCCCCTAGCTTTGCCACACTTTTTTTTACCTCCACTAGTTCATATTGATATCTATCGATATCAATATTTTGCTATAGATTTGTTTTATTTTAAGCTATACAGTTGCTGTATACCAATGGGAGGTATTATTATGACAGAGAACCCCTTTCAGAAGAAAGAGTTTTATAATTATTAGTGCAGTATTTTTGAAGTCAGATATTTGTTGGGACCTATTCTAGGAGAATGCTATCATGGTGTTTTGTCTCAAGTAATTTTCACGAAAATGTAAACTTTTCCGATACAATTATAATAGCTGACAGCGCATTAAAACATGTCTGAAACATCTTTTAAAATGTAAATGATAGCGTCAGATTACTGTCTGAAAATTCAATATATAATGAAACTATATTTTGTAGAATTGATTATGCAATTGTCTATTGTCTGAATGTGAATGCATGGGATTTAAACTCTGATGGGAGATCGGCTATGTTATCATAGCCGTGTAGTTGCAGTATGTCTCAGTAGTATTATACATTCTGTGTAAACTAAAACAATTATGAAGGACCCATGATTTTAAAATTATTTCAATCACTACTGAAATTGTAGTCCTGTGATGTTGGCATTAATATTGATTCGGATGTTGGTTCCTGTTATTGCAATCAACGTGTTCATTGTATGATTTAAATAAAATTGATTCAATAGCATTTGCACATTTCATATTTTGTTTCTTGTGCTCCTAGTTTGCAGAGTTACGAATATAATGTTTAACCACTGAAAGTATTGCATTGTGGAATGCAATCCAGAAGAGGGAAGCATAAACTACTGTTAAAAACGATCAATGTCTCGAGTGAGTGCCCGTGGGTTTTTGCCACCTAAACTAGCTGGGGAGCTGACTAAACAGGATTTTTCCACACAAACATTGAGGTAAACGGCGGAAGAATTTGGGAACATCTCACGACACCAAGAGGTGAGAGTAATGATTCAAGAAGACACGGTTAATATAAAATTGCTCCTGTTAATGTAATTCACCGGAATGTTATTTAAATCATAGAGCGTATAAAATAGCTCACAATAGATATTGGATTGTTTGGTAGGAATGTAATGATGCATTGATTAAAACCCATTCTTACAATACACGCATGTCCATGTATGTGGTCCATGTCAGCAAATTATTTGGTGACATAACATTGACGAATGTCTTGCTCTTTTCATGGCATAGGCAGATAACATGCCCTGATTAAGCCATTTTTTCCAGGCATATTGGCATGATGCAATTAACTGATAGTAAATCATTATTCACCAACCATAGTACTGTATATATTTTTGTATAACTGAAGTGCGTAATGTGTCATTGTTATTGCGATTAGTCACTGGTTATCACTTTACGACCAGTAGGGGGTGCACAATCATTGGGCTGTTTAGCCACAGTTCACGATGTTTCGCAGTGCACTGAAGCACAAACGATTTTTTTTATAACATTTATTGTCAGTCATGGCAGAGAATGGTACACAAATCACTCGGTTCAAAGCGCTTTGAGCTAACCACAGTACTAATCTTCCTGTAGGTATTTACCATACATTTTTAATGTACGGAGTGTCGAAATGTGACCGCATCTTCAGACACTCGAGAAACAGTGCTACTATTTCTAAATATAGGAACTCGATCGTAAGCGGATGAACAAAGGAAGGTCTTGAGCCGAGACTTAAAAAATTAACCCGTAAAAACAAAGTTTTTCACTATAAATCCTTTATATGCGTGGCGGCTAAAATCTGGCATCAGTTTTTGTCCATCGCATCAGGTTTTTGAGATATCAAATATTGCATTTTCAATAAAAACTGCAGAAGAAAAAGATTAAAGAAATGTGGATATCTATATAAAATGATATTATAAACACAGTATCCTAAAAATACAGCACCATATTTTAACACTAAAGCAGTCACTGACTCGCAACAACTTCCAAGCATAAGTGACAGAGTTAATTTTAGGTAAAATCAATGAAAATGGGGTATGCCGATAGCATAAAAAATGTACTCGTAAAAACAACATTTTTCACTATAAATCCTTTATATGCGTGTTCAATGGGCCACAACCCAGCCCACATTGGTCTTTGAAACGGGCGGCTAGAGTCCTCTCGTCCTCTGGCTTGAGATGGCTGCCACCTATGGGTCAGATGATTGCCTGCCACCATTAAGCAATTGGTAATTAAATATAATTATTTTTTTCCTAAAAAGTGTAAAATTTTGGAAAAAAAATTTCACGAAAATAAATTGTCACGCACAACGAGTCTGTGTGCAAAATGTCAGCTCGATTGGATCACGGGAAGTGGGTTAAAAAACGACCGAAAGATTTGCACGGTCGTAAGCGCCCAAGCAAGCAAGTGAACTTAATATAAAGGATTTAATAAGTATAACCCGTAAAAACAAAGTTTTTCACTATAAATCATTTATATGCGTGGCGGCTAGAGTCCTCTCGTTCTCTGGCTTGAGATGGCTGCCACCTATGGGTCAGATTGTCTGCAGTATTAAACAATTGGTAATTAAATATTTAATTTGTTTTCCCTAAACAGCGTAACATTTTGGGAAAATGTTTTCACAAACATTAATTGTCTCGCACAACTAGTCTGTGTGCAAAATGTCAGCTCGATTGGATCACGGGAAGTGGGTTAAAAAACGACCGAAAGATTTGCACGGTCGTAAGCAAGCAAGCACGCAAGCAAGCAAGCATGCGAACTTAATATAAAGGATTTAAAAAGCGGGTCGACCGCAGTGGAGGAACCGCAAGGACCTGGGACTGGAACTTGGGGGCCGCCCATAAATGACGTCACGCACCTAGTGGGGGGGGGGGGGGTTCACACATTTGTGACGAGGGGGGGGGGGAATTGTGACGTCACATCAAAATGCGCAACTATAAATATAGACAACACGTTCTACTTAATACTGGTAGGAACCTCCTGGTTCCACCGGCCCACAGGGGATTATTGTGTCCGTCCGTTGTGCATCAAAAATGGGAGGGGTGGGGCTGGATGGGGAGGGTGGGGAGGGGCTGGGTGGGGAGGGTGGGGAGGGGCTGGATGGGGAGGGTGGGGAGGGGCTGGGTGGGGAGGGTGGGGAGGGGCTGGGTGGGGAGGGTGGGGAGGGGCTGATCACCCCGTGGTGCCCTTATACAACTCAACGTTTAACCTACTCACGCCGGCTTGCGGAATACACCACGCCGCCGTTGACCCTGGCCATTGACCGAGCAACCCAACGTTCTTACCAGCTCCCTCCGCAGGAATGTGCTTTATTGAGGTGTTTTCCAGAACGCAGGGGCGATGTTTTTGCCATGTGCGGCTTAACGCTGCTAATATTCTCGTCTCCGTGTCGACAAGTAGTACACGCTCTACTTGTAGATCAGGGGTCCTCAAACTACGGCCCGCGGGCCACATGCGGCCCGCCGAGGACTTTTATCCGGCCCGCCGGGTGTTTTTGCCGCCGCTGCCTGTCTGTTACTTTTTTTCTACATGAGAAGGACGGTCATTGGTGGAAGAGGGAGAGGGGGCGGAGTTCCCCCCAATCAGACTGCATTGATGGGCAGTGCAGTCTGTATGTCTCTGTGTGGGCAAAGTTATTGCTGGTATATTGTTTTTGTAGCGCTGTATATATTTTGGTATTTTACTAATAGCAATTTTGACTCCCTAGGAAACAATGATGTCAAGAAAGAGAAAAATTTACTCGGAGTGTAGGATATTCAAAGAACAGTGGACTTATGATTACTTTTTCATGCAGTACAAGGAAAGAGCTGTGTGTCTGATATGCCAGAATATAGTGTCTGTGTTCAAAGAATACAATTTACGTCGACACTATGAAACTCAACATAAAGATTAATATGATTGTTTGGTCGGAGAAGTGAGAAAAGATAAAATATTAAAACTGAAAAATACATTAGCAACTCAGCAAAATACTTTTGTGAAGCAGAAGCAGCTAAATATTTCATCACTGCAAGCAAGTTTTTAAGTTGCCAAGCTAATAGCGTGCACTGGCAGACCATTCGTGGAGGGAGAATTTGTTAAAAAATGCCTTCTTTCTGTTGCCAAAGAGATGTGTCCAGAGAAGGCCGATTTATTTAGTACAGTGAGTCTTTCAGGACCTACAATTACACGGGGGATTGAAAAAATGGGAGACAATTTGCATCAGCATTTGCAAAACTCCCCAAAAAAACTTTCCTATTTTTCCTTGGCACTCGACGAAAGCAATGATATTCGTGATTCTGCACAACTTCTAATTTTTATTCGTGGGACGAATGACTATTTCGAAGTCACAGAAGAGCTTGCTGCACTGCAAAGCATCAAAGGAACAACTACAGGAGAGGATATCTTTCGATCTAAAGCTTTCGTGCCTGCAGGGATTCATCTTCTTGGTTCTTTCGGTAAAGTCACATAGAAGGGAAGTAATAAAATAATAAAAATAAAAGATAATAAAATAATTCTCACGACGTTTCGGCCACAACGCAAGCAGCCGTCCTCAGGTGAAAACCAGGTCTGTTGGGGAGACAGCGTCTGAATGAAACAGCACACGAGCTTGGAGCATATATAAGCTGGGTTGGAAACGGGGGAAAGAGCGCCTTGACAAAATAATTAGCATATCAAGAGGAATTTAGCATATGTATGGGAAATGCAGGAATGTGATTAGTGCTACATATGCAGCACGGGCATATGTAGTACTAATCACATTCCTGCATTTCCCATACATATGCTAAATTCCTCTTGATATGCTAATTATTTTGTCAAGGCGCTCTTTCCCCCGTTTCCAACCGAGCTTATATATGCTCCAAGCTCGTGTGCTGTTTCATTCAGACGCTGTCTCCCCGACAGACCTGGTTTTCACCTGAGGACGGCTGCTTGCGTTGTGGCCGAAACGTCGTGAGAATTATTTTATTATGTTTTATTTTTATTATTTTATTACTTCCCTTCTACGTGACTTTACCGAAAGAACCAAGAAGAGAGGATATCTATGAAAAGGTTTGCCAAACTGTGAATAGTTTAGAGCTGAACTGGGCTAAACTAGCCAGTGTGACAACTGATGGTGCTCCTAGCATGGTGGGGTCTAAGAAAGGAGTAATTTCTCGCATTAACCAAGAGATGGACAAACATAACCATTCTCATCCAATAGCCATACACTGCCTCATCCACCAACAAGCGCTGTGTAGTAAATCACTGAAGTGGGACTCTGTTATGAAATTTGTGGTATCTTGTGTTAACTTCATTAGAGCTCATGCACTAAACCACAGACAATTTCAGGAATTTATGTCTGAGCTAAATGTTGACTATGAAGATGTTCTGTATCACACAGAAGTCCGTTGGCTGAGTCGAGGGAGAGTTTTGAAACGTTTCTATGACTTACTTCCACAGATTACAGCTTTTCTGCTTTAAAAAAACAAAGACGTACCAGAGCTCAATGATGCAGAATGGGAATGGCACCTTGCCTTTCTGACAGATGTAACAGAGCTACTCAACAGTTTCAATGTGCAACGTCAAGGAAAGGGGAAGCTCATCTGTGATATGCAATCACATGTCAAAGCATTTGAAGTAAAATTAGGCCTCCTCATCAAACAAGTGAAGGAGGAAAACTTCTGCCATCTCCCCACAACTCAAAATCTGTTAGCGGAAAAACCATTGGTTGCATTCCCAAACAAAACATGTGTGGATTCACTGGAAAAATTGCAAAAGGAGTTCCAATTTGGATTTAAAGAGCTTCATCCCCATGAACAGGACATACAGCTTTTCCGTAACCCATTTTCTATTGACATTGAAAATGTGGATACAATTTACCAAATGGAACTGGCTGAACTGCAGAATTGTGACTCTCTGAAAGACGCACTCAAGTCAAGCAGCCTTCATAATTTCTATGCATCTCTCCCCTCTGAGACATATCGTCATCTCAGGAATCATGCACTCAAAATGGCAACCATCTTTGGCAGCACTTATGTCTGTGAACAGACTTTTTCCAGAATGAAACATTTGAAATCTCCAACCAGATCTAGACTAACGGATGCACACTTGCATCACTTGTTACGACTAGCAGTGGCAAATATGGAACCGGACATTGACCATCTCATTAGCCAAAAGCAGGCCCATAGTTCCCATTCAAATACTGGCAAGTTTGTTGATTTAACTTTACTTGTTCTTCATTTTAAATATTGTATTTGTTCCCGTTTTGTTTCTTCACTTCAAAATAAGATATATGCAGTGTGCATAGGAATTTGTTCATAGTTTTTTTTTTACTATAGTCCGGCCCTCCAACGGTCTGAGGGACAGTGAACTGGCCCCCTGTTTAAAAAGTTTGAGGACCCCTGTTGTAGATGTTGAGTATAAATATCTCATCGCCATCATTCCCTTCCCAACGCTCTTGCGTGGTCTCAATGTAACACCTAACTCGACACGCTCAGCCAAATGTTCACACATTGCCGCACGCATCGAGCCATCCGCTTGTTGAGGACGCTGGTCATAAGAATGCCTCGATCGCGTATCATTAACGTTCCAAATGTGACTTATGTACCCAGACAGATTACACCCATTACACAAAATCAATGGGATGTGAGGTTTGGAGATTCAGTGTTCGGGTTGAGCTTGGGGCTGGCAATTCAGTGTCAGGGGTAAGCGTTGGGTGCGAGTGATCGGTGCATTTATGGGGCCGTCCATAAATGAAGTCACGCACCTAAGGGGGGGTCAGACATTTGTGACGATGGGGGGGGGGGGGGGGTTGAGAAATGTGACGTCACATCAAAATGCGCAACTTTAAATAAATATAGACAACACGTTCTACTTAATTAAATATACTTTTTAGTAAATGTTTTCTCCTTCAACATCAGAGTGCAGCGCCACATTAGATAAGCACTAAAATGACAATAGTTTAAAGCGATTTGAAGCATGTTTTTTTTTTTTGGGGGGGGGGGGCAGAGCTTTGTGACGTCATATTTGAGGGGGGGTCTGACTTTTTGTCACGTCGTGTGACGAAGGGGAGGGGGGGTCAAAATCGTCAAAAATCGCGTGACGTCATTTATGGACGGCCCCAATGGAGACGGAGGTTTTGTGTGGTGACATTTTAAAAATAGAGTGTTCACACAATAAATGGAGAGCGGCTCGGCATCCTTCATTACAATAAGGGGGGAAATCATGTAGAATTAGTTAAACAAAAAGAGAGGGGGTGATCATTTCAGACCAGCAACGCAATCCTATTTTTCCCATAAGGTTTATTATTGTCGAACGCGGTTTTGCCCAACACGGCATTTTCCAGGAACATAACCCCTACATTCAGTATTACTGTATGTTGCTGATCAATTAGGGAACATATTTCCTTATAATTGTAATGTTGAGCAAATGTGTGCTGATTATTGCTTAATTTAAAGGAATTTACTCTTTTTTGATGTGATACCATAATGTATGCAAATAGCACGTACCAACGAAAATTCCTCTGCCACATGGTGGGAAATCCCTTCCACGTGGCAGAGGGAAGCTGGACTCGGCAACGGGGAGAAGTCGGACGTGGTTGGAGTTATATGAGGATTTGATACAGCTGGATCAACAATGAGCTGAGGAAGAGGCCGATGAAATGATACCAACCACCACGAATATTAACTGGTATTCACTGGCATCATTGCTCCAAGGAGCTGTACTAGCGGAAGGCGAAAAATTCCGTCCAGCTGTCTTTAAACGTTCTGCAATGAGGCCATGAAGTCTGAAGAAGAGCCCAAAATAGAGCCAGCTTCCTCTGGTGAACATTCCTTTAGCCGCAGCGTCATCGTTAGATGAAGAGGCAGGTGATGATCCTTCCCTTTCGTCTGCAGAACTCCACTACTGCTCACTCAAAGAGGCCTCGATCGGCAAGATTTTCAACCATCTGGTAGTTTTATCTAATTGTTTATATTTAGTATGCGTTAAAATGTATGTCAACTTGTCATCATATACACTAAATTGGCATACTTGCTCCAAGAAGTTGCAGCATTTCGACGGGAATGCATCCCTTTAGTATAGTGGAGGATTCATGTATAGTTAGTCACACATTTTAAAAAAAAATTCCAAATAAACTAATAAACTATTAAAATGCAAATAGCATTTTCAAATGCACACTTTATGTTAACAATCTTTTAGTATACAAACCATAATTGTATTTTTAAAATCATATTTATTTTGATCCTTGTTGATGGTATTTTATTACATTAAGGTGAATTCAAACAATGATGAAAGTGAATGGGCAGCAGAAATGGTGCAATATTATGAGCTGAAGCTACAACACGTTCAACAGCTTTATTATTTTTTAAATCAATTTATATAACAGTGAAAACAAATAACATGCCTAAATCGATACCTAATATTCACAGAAAATCTGGTGCACACCAATGCCAGCCTTATTATAAGTATTGCTTCCTCCAGAGGGTAGTGTACAAACAGTGATGTGACAGGCATTAGCTCATAGCTGGACTCTGATCTTCCTCGGCTGGATTGGTCACTGTTTTGTACATGGGGTCTCTGGATTCCATCAGTTCACATATTTCTTTAAATGATTTGCTTTCCGATGGAAAAGCATTTCTCTGGAAATGAAGACGCATAGCATGCAACATATTAATACGCACACTCTAATAAATTGTATACAAGCAGAAAAAGTACATGTCATGATGTTCAGGGGATATTGCACTCCAATTTAGCATTAAAACATATATATGAACGACAATATAAAGTATGATTTAATTGCAAAATATACAGTAGGATGTAATTACCTGTAAGGAAATTCTCATTATTCCTGTGGCCTTTTTGGCCCCAGTGCCACTCACTTCCAGTTGAAATCGGATTGATTTAAGAAAAGCCTCCAATCCTACTTGTCCAATGTTATTCCCTTGTCAAAAGGAAAATCCATCCAGATTAAATACGTTTTGGAGGTATGAGCAATGGATAATAATCAATGGTCAGTTGAAGCAACCTTCACTTTTTATAGATTTTTTTCAAGTATACAACTTGTATTAGTGTTTATACATATGACCATTTATTCATAGACTTACCGTTATTAACATAAAAAGTGAAAGTTTGTGCATTAATGCGTCTGATTTAATTTTGTAACTGAGCAATGGAAGCCTCGTAAAATACATTTTCTGGTGATGGAATGTGTGTAATACACATGAGGTCACTTTGTGATGCTTTTAAGTTGAAGAGCATACATGCCAGGTTGAGACTGATGAGACATTGATTTCCAGGAAGGAAAATCTGACCATTGTGGTGCTCCACGTGATCCATCAAAGGGTTAATTGCTTCAGGAGCCTCAGGCATCTGTGAAAAAGATTGTTTCAGGGTTTAAAATTGAATTGGAATATCATATTATTGCCATGAAAAATATATTAAATTACCTCTGGCTCAGATGTTTGTGGCTTCTTGTCCTTGTTGCCAGATTTTACTCCTTTGCCTTTGTTTCCTTTGGCCAGATCCCCAACTGCAGAAACTACAAAAGCAAGCATATTAAAATGCACCTCCAGTCCATCCTGAAATAGCATGTTCACAAAAGGCCAATAACAATTGAACTAATTAAATATATCCATGCAGTTCCAATTAACTAAATCTGTTCCGCTAACCTTTTATGATTACAATAGTTTGCATTAATAGTGCCGATCTGAAGACAGTTACAATTAGGCATATCAATTATGAGTGCCTGGGAGAAGGGGATTATAATCAAGAAAATAGAATGGACTTTTTATGAGAAGAAAATGGTTTTGGTGATGGATGAGGCACGGTATTAAATTAGAATAAAATGCAATGTAGATTCAAATGAAAACATTCTATGGAGAGAAGTCATAGGCAGCAGGGAAACAAAGCAGGAATCGGTATTGTGGATGGTCAGGAGGGGAGATTTCCGGTGGGAGAAGTGGACAAGGAGCAGTCTCCCATTGAGAGCAACATCGCATTAAATAGTGGTGCAAACATAAGGCACTGTTGCTGGAGAGTTGGGTGGATCTAAATGAGGAAATTAGGCAAGTTCACAGGTATTACATGCCATATGTTCAGAATAAATATTTCCATACGAATTATCTGCAGAGTAGACATGCTTTTTGGATTAAATAGGATAGATGATTGATAACATTTTTTGGCATTTGTATATGGAGTAATATAGCAAAAAATATTCAGGCAAGCCAAGTCTGTAAATAAGTTCAACTATTAATATTAACCGTTCTAGGAATGTTATCACTATAACAGCAGCTCACTTCTTTGCATTCAAAAGCCACGTATGTAAAAGCGACGGGTTGAATCTTGTGCTTGATAGTATTGCGGTATTTTTATGACAGGTATCAATCAACATGTTCATTTTTAAACTCCCATAGGCTAACTTTGGACTCTCATAGATCAAGGCAATAATATGTAATAATTTACAATGTGACGAAAACCTTGGAATTAAGTTCAGAATCATAATTCCAAGTCCATTTCAAAATAGTTTATTCCAATTCCTTGCCAAGGATTCGTGGAATATATCATTCAATCACTTAATGACTCGGTACAATCGTATTGATCTTCTCCATGTTATCATAACGTTATTGCTAGGAGTTATTAGCAACTTTAAAATGTATATTTAGTTTTGGGTTTTGTTTTTTTAACCACCCAAAAATTGCTATTACATGAGTTTCAAAAAATGCATTTACCTTTCTTTGTCAACTTGGACTCATCCTTTTTAACTGAAGCATTTAGTGGCCCTGCTGACCCTAAATTTCCACTGGTTGTGCTACCAGTAGATGATTTGTCGTCCTTCTTACCAAACTGTGCCAGTTCCTGCAGTACAAAGATTCAAATCACAAACTAATTAATTATGCCAAATATATTACATTTTTCAATCAACAGTATTTATTACAGTTTGGAATGTGCACCATTAACAGTGAGTAGACTAATTGTTTACTGCATTACAAAAAAATAAACCTCAATGCATATTATATATTAATGTCAATATTAACATCAGTAAGTTCTTACAGCCAATGATAATTAAGGACCACACTCTGCCATCACTTTCCTCTGTCAGATCGTGCAACTGTTGAAATACATCCAACCTCCATAGCCTTCACTTAAATAAACATACCATATCGCGTTTGGTCTTTTCCTCGACCTGTCTCGGTAACCTGCCCTCCTCCAAGTTGCACATGTGGCTTACACTTGACAATCACTTTTTTATTTACTAAATTTAAAATGTTTCTGACATTCCATTCCAAATGTCTAAGTTGCATATCCCATCATGCCATGAAGCTCACGGCAATCTTCACAAGCATCTACGTTTAAAGGCCATTGGCTTCTTTTCTCGGTGTTTTTTCTTATGTCCATCTCCACGATCCATGCCAAAACTGACATCACTATCGGCTTAAACACTGATCTCTTAAAACCAACATGAATCTCTTGACTGTATTAGGCATATTACGGCAAAAATAATCAGTTCCCTTATACCCCCATAATTCTCAATTCAAACTGAAGGTGAAAAGAATATCATCCCTAACCACCGTCATCAGCTTAGTTTTATTCAAGCTCACCTAAAGACCCCAGTATATAGTATCAGAATCTAAATATATCGAAAGTTGCAATACCCCAATAAAGGTGCTAATAACCACAAATTACCCATTGCGTTTCCTCGGTTTTCTACAGTCTCTAACAAATAAATTCTATATTGTAAATGGCAGTATGTCCAGGAGCTAAATGCTGATTTTGAGGTCTGATAGCCACAAGCTGGCTTCGGTTAAGTTACGTAGATAGGTTCAAAAAAAATAACAAAAACTACGACGTTTCGATCGCAACACAAGCAGTCGTCATCAGGAAAAGGGGGTTAGCCTTGAAAGGCAAAATGTTTATAAAGGTTTAAAATAGGCATAGCCCAAGTGTCAGCAGTATGGGCAGGGTAGCTAATGCTAATGTAAGGGAAGTTGCTGCTAGAGGTGATGCTAGTAGTGGGTAGTGATGGTGCTGGTAGTGGGCTTACACCAATAAAGGGCTACTGCTAGTGGTGATGGTAGTAGTGGGCAGTGATGGTCCTGGTGGTGGGCTTCCACCAATTAAAGGGCTGCCAGTTCTAAAATGGAAATATTACAGCCAGTTATGACTTGAACTAGTTGATAACGTCCTTCCAGTGATTGCTAAGTTTGTACCCATCTTCTCGGTTTAAATTGTGTCGATGTCTGTATATATGGATGGCTTCATGAACTAATCTTTGTTGATAGTCAGTGGGTTTGCAAGTACCTTCGTTTTAGAGAAATCAAATTCGAGTGAGCCAACCGCAATAAAACAATGACCAGCCACGGCCAAGGTATTGGGCCTACCGTGTTTCAGATCTGCCTTATGTTCACGAACACGGTCCGAGACATGTCGCTTAGATTCCCCAATGTAACTACTGCCACAGACACAGCTTAGTTTGTAGACGCCAGGGTATTGCATGTCAGGAATCACATCCTTCACAGATGGGATAATATCGTGAATTTTATGTACTGTGTTAAATCGAACCTGGATCTTGTGTTTGCTCATGATTTTGGAAACAATTATGGTGACCCCTGCTATGTATGGCAAGGTGATGGTTTTGATTGGGTCCTCTGTGAATGCGATAAAAAATTAAGTTGAAATCAAAACTTTATTTAAATTGCATTATTGTGGCAATACATGTCTATCTTACACCAGTGCTTTACCTTTTTCTTCGTGGAAGGTTTTGTCCCCTTTCCTGTAGCCTTCTCACCCTTGTCAATCACGCTATGGTGGTCCAGTTTGGAATCTGCGCGACGTACAGTCACAGGCTGGAAGGAGGTAACCTTTTAAAACGAAATAAATATGTAGTGTATCACATAACAGCCTGTAAAAAACAACTACAAATGGCATAACAAGTAGAAACAACTACATCTATGAAAATAAATATATCGATAGCAACACATTTACTAATAAACTAAATAACGATGTTTAAATCAAATGCAATTATGTCCACACAGTAAATTAGAGTGACTAAAAGGTCTTCACATTTGTCAATGACCTGCTGTCAACCTCTTCCCTATTAATATGAACTCATGTGTTGGCATGCAGTGCGGTGTTCAAGTTCAAATTATAAAGACCACTCTTGTGAGGAAAGGCCATTCTTAAGTATTCATACATACATCGCCTCCATGGTAGTGTATACATCTAGCCGGTTTGCATATTTAACAAATCTCTTATGTGATCCACGAACCCTTGCCTCGAAAGTGCTGGATCAGAGGTGTGCAATACTAAGGCTGGCTGCTTAAGTGGACACATTTATGTAAAGCTCTGACACTCATAATAAGATGAGGATCCCCCTTGCAGTCTTGAAAATACGTTTTCGACTAAGCCTAGCCATTGCCGTGCTCAGCCAGAACAACACCGTGATATGTTAGGCTCACAAGACATCATAATCTGGTTCAGGGCCAAGCAGGCCAGGAGCAGGGCTACTGGTGCATTAATTGCATGTGACGTCAGTCAGTACACAATTCAAACAGAGCATCACCGTATCATCCAAATGTCTCGACTCGTCCATTGTGTGTGACGAAAGTGGTATGGTTTGGCTTCTACAGTGGAAACAAAATCTGGCACCTCCTAAAACGTGCCAGGCTGGCTCGGTACAACCAGGGGTGGATTGGTTGTATCATGGAAAAGAGGTATGTCAAACTATAAAAGCCTACATGCACTATTAAAGCAGACATGGCGCACAAGGGGGTGGTGTGGTTAACGTGAATTATGTATCTTATTATCAAGGCACTTACTGACTTCTGGATCTCTATACTGCCTCTTACTTCAGAGAGCAGACTACGTCGTTGCACAACCTCTTCATGTGTCAGTGGAAATCGAGCCAAGATCTGAAAAGTACATTTTATCTTAGTGAGTTAAATGCATTCACATTTTTCAATACAATGACGATGTGCAAATCCTTCACGGTAACACCTGAAGAATGGTTGACTAAAATATTTCACATGAGCAATTTTAAGATAGCATATCACATAGCTTTGCTTGTTTCCTATTTTTGTGAAACAACAAGTATTGATATACAGAAATTTCAAACATTGTCCATATATCAATGTAATGCTTTAATACAGTAAACCTGGTGCACCGGAGGATTGTTGGATGGAATTCTTTGGCAGCTTCATCCAGCTTTTGTAATGCGATGCAGGAAATGGTGGATCACAACAGACTCCACTGATTATCTGTTGCAAATCCCTTAAGCATCAATATGTATTCGTTTGGTATGTCATGTTTCATGATGTATTACTATTGAGCAGCACAAGTGACCAACATAGTCATAATTTCAATTGTTCAACATCATGGAGCCTCATTACATGTCTTGCAGGAGCTAATTTTGTAAACTATTGTCTCAACTCATTGAGTCCCACGATATCCCAGTTTGTTCATTCTGGTTTCAGTTCAACAAGTTCTGATTTGCCAGATAGAGTCAGTGTGTTGTATATAGCGATGGTCAAACCCAGAAAGCGCCTGGTTCGTGATTCTTAGCACCAACTGCTCCATCACCATCCTAACCAACACCATGGGTGATGGATCCAGTGCTGCTGGGGAGTGGAGGCTCGAGTTTAGTTGTGTTGGTCGTGGGAGAGGGGGCAGCTGACGATAGTTTACCATGCCAAGTAGTGCGTTTGGCTCACCTCTCATTGAGTATCTGTCATCAGTGCCTCTATCCTGTATAGGTACTCAGAGCTACATGGTACTCAAGCCTCTTTGCCCTGGAAAGTCAATACTTAGTTGAAAGGTAAATATTTTTCCCTTCCACCGTTGTTGCATCACCTTGTATATGATTAAAGAGCTTCATCCATTATAATGTACATTGAATTGAAATATAGCAATGACAGATGCGCACCATACCTTTGTTATAACTATCGATTTAAGGTAACTATTTTAATACCGCATTTCCCCTGTGCATTTTGATTGTTCCAGATCCTGGCTGTTTTCAAACAAACTTCAGGAAAATACCGTATATAGAACTACAACTTGAAGAACAAAATATATGTGGTAGAGCGACCATGAGATGAAGAGGAAATAAAGACAGGTGGATGTGGAGAGATCTTTATTGGTATCTGTTGGTCAAGCGTTAACTTTTATACAATGTCCCAAAACTTGGGGCAGTATGCCAATCATATGAGTGTTGAACCAATGATACGTGCAGAGTTGTGTTTCTGATTGTGAACATAGACTTTGGACGAAAAAAACTAATATTTTTTTAGGTGCCCTTACCAACAAAGCTGATGAACAAACAAAAACAAATTCACGAAACAGGTGTCGAAGATATTAACGTAAGGGTCATCAGCAAAAGGATAAGGTTGATAAAGGATTTAGTGGGTATTATAATATATTGAGTTAGTGTGTTAGAAATATTAAGGGTGGAAAGTTTTTGAAATATTATTAAGGTAGAGAATCAGGGAAATATAGGAAGTGCGTGAGACACTGGAATCTATTCTGGTCGGGTGTGGCATGCAGCAATATCGAGCCGGGTTTTGAATGAGAAACTACAGCATAATGGATAGGGTTGTGCTTTATGGAATCATCATGAATGAACAAGTGAAAAAAAGAGTACAAGACAGAGGTACAGATTTACACCACAATAGGAAATGGGTTGGAGGATGCACAGTCAGCGCCATCGGGAACATATTTGCTCCATGTATTAAAACACAGATATGCCTTGTTGAAAGTGGTAGATGCATTCCTGAAAAGTGCAGCCTTAAGCGAAAAAAGCTTTAAACAAGGAATTACTGTAATGAACCACATTTGCACTATAAAATCAGCCTGCAGTCATCCTATGGCACGACAAAAACTGAGATGAGAGTACGCTGCGTACTGTATCATTCCACGTACTCCATCATACCGCTCAGCCACGCAGCTCAAGAAAGTAGTTTGTCATTGACCGCTCAGAAATCGTGTTATAATGGGCACGTTCTGTGTTGTGCGAAAAGTGTTCCCGAATAGAAGAACCGTGTTATAGCGGAAACGCGTTGTATGAAGACGCGTTAAGCGAGGACTTACCATATATGTTAAATGTTTGTTGTGTAACTATGGCTACTAACCTGATGCATTCTAATGTACTATTAATGTACTGTAGCAATGCAAAACCAACCTCTGCAAGTTTAACAGCTCCATTATCACCAATCTTGTTGTGCGCCAGTGAAAGACACAGCAAAGTCCTGTTTAAACGTAGACCCTGCAAAAGCATGAAAAAAGTGCTGAATACAATACCAAAGGAAGATATGTACCCATAAATCAATAAGCAATTTGTATCTCAAAATCACCGTGCGAATAGCCTTACATGAGCAATGTAGCCTCCCCCCAAGTCAGTAATGCAGTTGTAAGCCAAATTTAGGCTCAGTAGGGTTTTATTGGTTGTCTTGGTGGTAGAGAGGGCTTGACCCAGCAGCCGAGCACCATCATCATCGATCCGGTTGTTTCTGAGTGACAGGTGGCCTATCCTACAAACCGTGCGACAAATGCATGCAAAGTAGAATTTTCACCAAACATCTTAAAATATTTGTGAAACCAAAAAATATTGTTACTTACAAAAAATCACTTGCAAAATAAATATTTTACAATACAACTGTAAACAAATTATATAAATTACTTACATAATTCCCTCTCCAATTAGTTTATGGTATGACAGTTTTGGCTCAGGATTTCCTTCCAGCACAAGAGTCCTGCATTACATGAAAGGAAATGTATATCATTAGCACGAAGTGTATTATTTAATGCAATATATACAGATATGTTTTGTTGTAAAAACCCACTGCACTGGTTACCTACTGTTGAAAAGACATTTTCTATAATTTGGTAGAGACATTTTGCAAAGTTCTTCAAGTAGCACATTTGCTAAAGGAAGACTTTACTTGAAATCAGGACCATTATGTTATAACGGAAAGTTGAGTTCATTCATTTCTGTATAAAACAGGCGAGTCTCACTCTTCAAACTCAAATTATTTAACACACTGCACAGCATGTGAAATTTCGACCAATTTTCAAAGGCAGGCATTCAACTTGGGATGGGATGTTTCTTTTCCACTGGGAGGATTATTCCACAGGATGCCTTTATGTGGTTGAGTAGGAAAAACTCCTAAATGTGCTTTGAGTTGTCTTATTAGGTGATCGTTCACAGCTGTCTCATGCCATGTGACATTTTTCCGCATCACCTTTATCGTTACATATGTTGATCGATATGAGTTCATGCATATTCTTTTAGCACATATTCATTGAATATGAATTACATTTAAATGCCATTCACATGTAGGGAGATTTTCCACATTTTATTTCTTGACTTTTGGGAGTGTAATCATAGCTTTAATTTGGTACAAAACGTATAAGAGTCCTCGTAGTTAAGCGACTGTTAAGATATGTATTGTACAATATACAAAACCTGACTTGTGGAATAAATTAACAGGAAGGCTTACTTGAGATTTGTACAGAGAGGGAGAACTGACACGAACATATCCAAGGTGTCCTCATATATTCCAACATTCCAGAAACTGCAATACACACATCAGTAAAAACTTAAGTTTACAAAACATCAATTTCTTTTTCATAGATAATGATACAAAAAAAGTTACAGTTTGCATCAAAGACTGCAACCAATTGTAGTTATCAATGCTATTTATACTGATTATTATCTATATATTTTGTCATGCACTTTATATTATATTCCAAATGTACTCGTGAAAATAAATGTACAGTACTTAATGGTCGTGAGGCTGGGAATTGCTGGTAAACACTTTTTGAGAATGCTCATCATTTTTTCTTCAATTTTCCAACCTGTTGAAATAAGTTCAGTACACACAAAAGCAGGGTGTAATTTTTGTTTTAGTTGTTGCATAAATGCCTGTGGTCAGAATTGCCGTGTCATGCAGTTTTAATTGTTCAGAATACCTCGAATGTATATCTCTTTGACGGAACTTTTGTTGTCTTCGTTTTCCGGCTCCACTTGCACACATGGTTTGAAATACACAAACGTGTCCTTGGTGGTGAATGTTGTAGGAGTAATATCTTCTTCAGATGGAGCCACGTTTTGAACATTTTCTGTCATAAGTGTATGCAAACATAATTCAAAAGTAGTATTGTATTCATGTTATATATTTCGTTAAAAAGGTTTTTACTCGTATAGAGAATGTCTTTTAAGTGCAATAACCTTCCCAATTCTATTGTTGCTAATGTCAATACAGCATGTTCAGGAGATACATGCCAATGTCGAGGTCTGTTATCCACCAGCATTTATGTAGTTTTGCTATTCTTCCATTGAACGAGAACAGACTACAAGTGATGTACTACTTGCTTCATAGTTGAGATGGGAGATGGCAGCCTTCCCGTGGCCCATCTGTTACGTGTTTTCATGTCAACTTAAACACAACTAATGCCGTTATATAGACAAAATTGACGCCGGTAATTCGAATTCAGATACCATTAGCAGAGCTAAATGCTGATAAAAGGCCCTTTTAAGGGCCAGAAGCTGATTGGACCTGCCCAATAATACCCAATGAGTTACAGTCTGGGGTGGCCACAGATTCTCAAGTCAGTATTACCATGAGCACACATACAAGAACAGCCTGTCCAATGTGGCATTGCTTTTCAGTTCTCATTGATAGTAAAGAATGTGAGGCTATATTTCTACAAGTTTCTGAAAAAGAACACTACAACCAGCTTACAGCATATAGTGGATTTTCAAATTGAGGTTTAATGACCTACTCATTATTGTCTATTCATATACTGCATGGATATATATTGATACATGAATTGTGGATTATCCATTTTGCACAACTGTTTAGTGGCAGGAACACCACTACAGTATTTATAAATACAGCATAACCTGAAAATTCCAGTAATTCACGGATGAATTGTTGGTGGTTAGTGACTCCTCCCGTAATCCACCACACACCGCACTGGCGGCATCCGCTAATTAACTTGTTAGCTGTGCTGACCTCATAATCCACTAATTTTTGGCAGATTCATCATTTTCGCGGCTCGTTCCTCTTGAAATCTGCAGCACACTGCGATGTATTAAAAACTCATCACAGTCCGCAAACCACGATCCGTAGAAGCGGACGGGGTTATGTGGAGCTGCAGGGAAAAGTGGAGGTAATAATTGTTTTGTTATTTAGCATCAGTATAGACTAGCAGAGCTGACGTGATTTAGCAGAAAAGCAATCCGCATGTTTTTACTTGGATATCAGGTCAAAAAAATGCAAACAATCCTTTTACATAGACGTATATGGTAGATTTGCTCCATATTGATCTTATAAAAACCCGTAACCTCGTAATCTGTGAATTTAATGCAGATTAATTTAGCTGCTCGTCACATATCCGCAATTTGTCATGGATTAGTGGCATTGCGCAGCTAATTATATCTGTAATTCGTGGTACACCGCGTTGACGAGACATTTTATCATGGATTATGGTACTGACCTCTGTGGTGTGCCGTGGATTATGGGATCTGTGACATGGACCGCCCATATCACTGCTGTATAAAGAATTTTAATAATTTATATAAAAACGGTGGTCAACTCATTTAAGGGCCCATCGGAAATAATTAGGATATGTGCAGAAAATGTTACTCTATAAATAATAATGAATTATCGTACTGCATTTGCAGTATATTCAGATATTTCGATTTTGCTATATAACCTGTTAACTTGCCTGCACCAGTCTTTTCCATTGCTGTGGGAGGGTGAGATCTTCTGACAACAGCAGGAGTGCTGGCTAGCCCCGTTAGGTTGCACAATTGAGTGAAATCTTGCTCAAAGTTTCCATTGCATTCATATTCCTCTGAAACAGTGACAGCCAAAAATGTGTACTGTCATTTTACATATTCATCCTTTAAATGCAAGCAATTTGAATATGCACTAACGTTATAAAAGACAATATAAGCCTAATTAGTCATTCCTTAAGCCAAAGTCTTTCGAGAGCAGTCCACCTTATTTTATACCCATCAATTAATGTTGCATATACACCATTCTCATCTATTCATTGTATATTCAAATACAGCACATATAGCATAATAGTAGCTAATGGGCAACTACAGTATAACATCATTATCATCCACGATCAAGCCACTGCTGGATGAAGGCCTGCACAAGCCATCACAACCTCTCATGATCCTGTGATGCAATAATCAATCCAAAACCTCCGCATGAACTGAACTCATCACTCAATTTTTTGGTTGACATCCTATGTGTTCCATTCCTTGGATGCCATCTGTTGTTATTCTTGACCACTGGTCATCATCCTTTTTAGCGATCTGTCCTGCCCAAGTCCACTTACTTTTCATAATGTGCAACATTATTTAAGTTGTATCTGATCTCATATCCCTGTGTTCCTTTTTCAGGAACGCAATAAAATCTATACTATGAACACGAGGATCTGCACACCCTCCGGGACGACAAATGTTGTGCCATTCATTATGACAAAGTGTCAAATAGTATGCGTTTTGATTGATAGGCAAGCCATTTTAGTTAAATTAAGGGTTACCACCTCTAATATACAAAAGAAACCCTGAAAAATAATCTGAATATCTCAATACTGAAAACGGGGAGTACTACACCTAAATACATGCCTTGTCTTGAGTGGTGTAATATTACAGAATGAACAATAAGTGGGACTTTTAATTATATTATTTAATTGGACAGCTCCATTAAAAGGAGTTTCCTCGGAATAGCAGGGCAGATGGCAGTCCTAGTAACCATGTATAACTAACATCTATGCGATATCTAGCATTACGTGTATGTATATTCATATAGTTATACAGTATTTTTGATAAAAGCAGTAAGAGATGACTTGCAAAATATCATTCATTTCGAAAATAAAAACCAGTTATTTACCAGGGGTGTTTATGCTGTCTCCTTCAGTTGAATTACTGAGTTGTCCTTTCGATTCTCTTGAAGCTCTTTCTGTCTTCTTCCCCATTGTGACTTTTTCTAGTGCACTGTTTACATGATACAATGTTAACATGCAATTGGTATTATTTAATTATCGATATACAGTACTTTAGTATCATATAATGTGTACATCATAAGTGGTAATATTCAGAGGTAAAAGCAACTGAACATTTTATTTTATTATTTTAAATGCTGCAAAACATTTATTCACATTCATTCACTGCAGTGCATACTGTAGATTGCTTTTTGAAAATTATATTGAACTTTTAAAAAGAGAGCTGTTGTTTGATTGGCACATTGTTCACAACCTGAAGCTTCAGACTATAAATAATGTGTTCTTATTTGAACAGGTGGCAATTTGTCACCACAGCAGTCTTAAGGAGCAGTGAAACCTTTGGAGAGTAGTGCTCGAGGGTGAGACACTTGTACACACTTGACCTGTACGTAAGGAGCTAGGTGCTCTGAATGCTAGGGACCATTTCACCATGGCAATGGCTGTATTTTCACAATACTGAATACCCTAACATACATGTGTGTGTATAGTACTGTATTTAAAACTCTCTACCCCACCTTGCAAAAGAGACATATTACTCTATGTGACTTTCATCCTTTTAAAATATGTATTTAATTGAAGTAAAACCATAGTTAATGCTGGCTCCATGAAATAAGTCCCAATCAGCTGCAGAAAGCACTGCACATAGTACAAAAACATATATAAACATAATTTCGTAATCAACACCTGTTTTTATATCCTGATTTTAGTGATTATCTAACTTAGTCTGGTTTTTCCCTTTAACCATAGAGTGAGTAAAGAGTGCCTGACCATTTGCTAATGGACATTTATCCACCTAAACCTGACTCCTCGTGGGGTTTCCTCTACATTGCCGTTCACACTGCAGCTGCTCAATCACAAAGGGCACAGCAGGACCACGTGTCATTTGCGTAAATTAATTTCAGTGATGTTTGGTCCCATAAGTTATATGATAGATTTTGAACATGTACTTCAGCCCTTGCATATATCTACTGTTGGATGAGAGCCTCCACACACCTGAAGGACAAATTCGAGTAACATATCTTCTCAAAGAGAGCAAAAACTCAAATAGTGCTTTAAGATCGTAACAAACCTCTTTATATAATAGGCCAACGATGCCAATACAAAACCCTCCGGAAATAATATCTTGAGGCTGATTCAGGTTTGTGTGGACAAAACAGCGAAGTTTTTTTTATGTATTGTTACTATTGGAAGGGAATGTCCAAACATCCCAAAGTAGGACCCTTTTTAAAATGGGTTGAAACCCAATGAGGTATTCCTGAATACAGTACTGTACAGCACTTGTTAATTATAAAACGTATCTAGAATGTGTGTCCTGGACGATCAGGCATTATCATTGGGGTGGAGGAAGACTTTGAAGTTGCAGGAGCTTGTCATCACGGCAATCCAATTACACCAATGCTTATTTAATACTGTACATGTTCAGAGTATTTGGCTGCTATACATTTCCACATAAGCCACTTCGTTGAGCTATCATTTGTGGCAAGGTGGCTTCTGAAAAGGAACTAATAGCTGTGGGCTTTACCTGGTAAAATAAAAATGGTTTAGTTTGAGTACATTTATGTTTAGTGATTTTCTTACCTTGCCTATATTTTGCACTATGGTTTTTGTGCTATTTGTAATTACCGGCTATATGTCGTATTCGAATTGTATTCTCCAACACCCTGGCGTACTGAACTAGTAACGAATTGGCACGTTGTGTTTACGTGACAAACCTGATGAATTGGCTGTGTCGGGTGGTGGCAGGTTTAACGACACATTTATATTCACGCGACCCAAAAAAACCTAGATATTGGTCGCGAAAGCCTACGTGTCAAAGTGTACCATTTGTTGTTGTAACTTTCTGACCCGCCCCTACTTGACATCTGTATAAAATAAAAAGCTTCATAGCTCATCGGATTTTTCTCCAGGATAGATATTCTGATTCTGTACGTCAATGTGGTGACATCAAGAGCCCTTTACCAAGAAGTCTGGCCGTGATTATAAAGTATTTTTTCTCTCTCTCTCTCTTTCACTACTACAGCTCCCTATATAATAGCACCACAGCTCTCTGTTGGGCTTTCGTATCCAGCTAACTCGATATCGCTTCACGATCCAAACTCAGGGGAAATGCAACCGGACAGATGTGGCTCTCAATTCGCCCACAAAGATAAAGATCCCCCGTAAAACCTTAACTGGCTGCAGGGGCAAGTGCTGTTAGCGAGCACTTATGAAGGTCGGCACGGCACATGAAAGGGTGGGTGGCCAACACCACGCCCGGCCGCCTTTGTCTCCCCAGTGGCGATGTTTACACATCACCCCGGGTACTCATTTGAGGCTGAGTCGACCTAGGGGAGGTCCGGCTCAGATAATCGTCACTGGTGGCAGGTTCGTAGCGCAGCGTGCTAACCGCTACACCACCGCTCCCCACACACACAGCCACACACTAACACAGACACACACACACAGACACACACTAACACACACTGACACACACACAGACACACACTAACACACAGACACACACTAACACAGACACACACTAACACACACAGACACAATAACAAACACAGAGACACAATAACACACACAGACACACACTAACACACACAGACACACACTAACACACACACTAACACACACACACAGACACACAGACACACTAACAGACACACACTAACACACACAGACACACACTAACACACACAGACACAATAACAGAGACACACTAACACACACAGACACACTAACACACACAGACACACACTAACACACACAGACACACTAACACACACTAACACACACACACGCGCGCACACGGGACTCGTTCACCTCTCAACGGACGCACGAATATTATTCCCAACACACACACACAGGCATAGAACAGCATCTATGTCGTCGTGAACCCGCAGTGAAGTTCCCACTGCGAGTGAGTGAAGCTCCACGCACGAACCTGGCGCCACGTGGCCACCCCGTGCGCGCTTCCTGCACTCGAGGTCGCGACTGTCAGCTGCTGCTTGCCGTTGCCTCGGGCAACCGCGGTCACGTGACGAAGCGTAGGGGGAGGCCCTGATTGGACAAGGCATGGGCGGGAAGTCCCTATACCCGCCGGTCTATCCGAGCGCAGTGTGTAGGTATAAGAAATGGGTATAGGGACTTCTCGCCCATGCCATGCCATTGACTGGTCGATAGTCGGGGCCTACGATTGCGATTTAAGAATCGATAGTTTGGTTCTTTCGGTAAAGTCACGTAAGTAGAAATTGTTTAAAAAAATAAACAAAGAGTATGGATTCCTGCAGTCACGAAAGCTTCAAATATAGATTGAATCGATATTTTGTGTCTCCATCGTTTTTGCCGACTCTGTATTGTTTAGCGGCGTTACGAGTTGTGTTTGTGTGTGGTTCGTGTACGTCTCGTACGCGCAGCAAACACATTCCTGCTGCGGAGGGAGCTGGTAGGAACGTTGAGTTGCTCGGTCAATGGCCTGCAGGGTCAACGGCGGCGTGGTGTATTCCGCAAATATGTCCGACTGTGAGGGCGGGCACAAGCCGGCGTGAGTAGGTGAAACGTTGAGTTGTATAAGGGCACCACGGGGTGACCAGCCCCTCCCCACCCAGCCCCACCCCTCCCACCCCCCACCCAGCCCATCCCCACCCAGCCCCACCCAGCCCCTCCCCACCCCACCCAGCCCCTCCCTACCCACCCCACCCCTCCCTCCACCCCCACCCAGCCCCACCCTCCTCACCCAGCCCCTCCCCACCCCACCCAGCCCCTCCCACCTCCCCACCTAGCCCCCCCCACCCTACCCACCCAGCCCCTCCCCACCCAGCCCCACCCCCACCCAGCCCCTCCCCACCCAGCCCCTCCCTGCACGACGGACACAATAATCCCCTGTGGGCTGGTGTAACCAGGAGGTTCCTACCAGCAATACTGCGTCACTAAAGCAGCAGCAGAATGAATGATCGGACTGGCGATGCGCCCTGCGGCAGCGCGCATCACCGGGCCATCAGCAGTAATGCTTCATAAAATCAATCGCATCATCATCATCATCAATACATCACATCATCATCAAATCTACGGTCAACATCACCAATCCCCCCCATACTCATCATCAACACCAGCATGGCTCTAGCGGGTGCGTGGTCGTCGCTTGTTGAAGAGTTTCGTGGTTCGAAGTCCTGAGGCCGGCCTGGTTAATACTGCGGGTTTATTAATGTTTGCGGTTCAAATTTGCCAAATTAAAATAAAAAATACCCGCAAACTTCTTAGTTGGCGTTATGCGTAGCAATCATCACCCCCCCCCCTACCGGCAGATATTGCAGTAGAAATTGTATAATTAACGGGAGGTTTGGATTCTGGGGGGTGGTTTTTAAATGTATACGGTGAGACGGATAATGGGAACCATCCCATATGACATTCCAGATAAATATCTAAGTGCATGGGTTGAGCCTGGATAGTTTTTTTAAATATCAACTTGATTAAATACGGGTCACAATCCCCACGGCCATCTCGGTGTGGAGAGGCATTCATCTAGCAGTGGATTTCCAAATGCATTTGAATACATACACATGTACGTATCAACATGTGAAGGTTGAAGGGTTTATTTGTTGCTAAGTGCATATAATTGTGTTAATACAATAATCGTAAAAAGGTTCAACAAACCAAAAATAACAAAAAATGCTATATTTTCAATGTGCGTTTAACGCTAAACATGTTTGACTTAAAATTGTCGGGCAATTGTTAGAGCACGTGCATCGCAAGTTGGAAGGTTTCCGAATTAAAACCCATCTGGGGGTCAACTCAGCATTTGGACGTATTGGCGGTGCAGCATAACACACCGGTCATCATAAAACAGTCTAAAATAAACATTTGAACAGGCATTTGTCTTAAGACTGCTTTGACACAACGATAACTGATTTTGACGCACCCCGAAAAATGTTCTGACGCGCGTTGCGAATTGCAGGAAAAGAAATAATTATTGAGAAAATGTTGCTTTTAAACCACGCACCGGTGTGTCGCCAATACGTTCATTTATTCTTCCAGGGTCGAGAAAATTGATACCACATTGGGCATTGTCAACAGTCCTATAGATTAACTCACCGACTCCTTAGAAATGTGGAATTTCCATAACTGCCTTAGAGTTATACATTCGAGTTGAGTGCTTTCCAACCGTCGTTTAAGTACGAAACCACTTTGGATTGTAGTTTTACAAACTTTTACGTGATGGGAGGACATAAATTGCCATAAAGGGAACTATTTCAAAAGCATGGTTATGAGAACGTGAAATAAATGAGGTCACAATTTCTGCATTTGAAAAAATAGATTGTTAAATAATATGTAATCTTTATTGGTTACGTTTTCAATACGTTTGAATACATGTCAAAAATAGCGACGCATTTAGTGTGATTCTATTCATGAAAATGCATTTACAATCACTTCTATATAGTACTGTAGGCAAAAGTGTCTTAACATTGAGCTAGATTGTTATACAATTTTCCATACAATGATTATTAAATACCAAATTATTTTACTTTTCTAGTCATCAAAACATTTTACACTATCGTGATAAAGTTTGCGAATGTATAAAAAAAATACTTGCTTTTTCCAACGTGAGCTTTCTGAGTCAGACGCCATGATTGTAGGAGGCTGCCTTGTTCGTGGTTTAAGAGCACATGTTTGACAAAGCGTACAACTTGCCTGGGACCATTCATTCTGATTCTGAATTGGTGAACTGTAGCCACTTTGAGAGTGCGCCCCCAAGCAAGGCATCGTTAAATGTGCGATCGTGCATTGAACATGAGGTCGGGTCTCCTGTTAACAACTGCTTCGTTCTCCAAATATTCCATTGCATGTTGATAACATATCACAAGTAGGGCTGTGCCCAACATGTTTTGTATTAGTTTTGGCGAGTTACATTTTTAATGGTATAGATTTTGTGACGATGTTAGCCACTCTCTCCTTTAGCATACATGAATGTTTCCATGGAATCATTACCAACAACAAAGGCACGCAGCTGCTCTGGCAGCGTGATTGTCCGTGATATTTACGAGGTTGTTTCCCCAATGCAACTTGTTTGTGAAAGGCGTTTTTTACGTTGTGAATGTTGTTTTATAAATATACTGACAGATCTGAAATAGTATTTATAGTATTTAAATGTAAATAATGAATATAAACTGATCTGGAATTATCAATATATTTCCTATTTATTTATTAAAAGAAGGGAAAGTTATTCGAGAATATACTTAGTGTATTTAATGGCGTATTACATGGTGCCAACAGCAAACTTTACTCCAGCATTAAATTGTAGTGCTTTTATGCAGAATTAGGCTGTATTGAGAATATGGAGTATGGATAAGAAAATATTTATTTAAGAAGATCACTTTTGTAATCACCCTTTATCTGAGTTATATGTGTGAAAAAGAGCTTCATAGCTTATCAGATTATTTCAGTCTAAATCAAGATTCTGATTATGATATGCGCTATAAAGGACCACTGTCCAAAACATTGCTTATTATATATTTTCTTTTAAGGCAGTGTTATTGATGAATGTGTGGAGTTTTCACGTTATCTAATGGGTGAGCTTAAATTATTCACCTTATTTGTGTGGAGCAACGAGTGATAGTCCCTGTACCGTTGTAGTTTAAAGAAAACTATTTAATGGAGACACTGATAGCCACTAAAGCCGTGTGTTCGAGGTCTATACATGAGTCACATGTTCTTCTTGGTTCTTTCGGCAAAGTCACGTAGAAGGGAAGTAATAAAATAATAAAAATAAAACATAATAAAATAAGTCTCACGACGTTTCGGCCACAACACAAGCAGCCGTCCTCAGGTGAAGACCAGGTCTGTCGAGGCGACAGCGTCTAAATGAAATACCACCAGGCTTGGAGAAATGCGTTTGATATTACCTTAAGAGTCGCGGCATCTCTTCAGAAAGGTGAGAGGCTCGATTAGCTGAGCCTTCTTATCACGGAGCTTGTTGAAGGATCTCAAAGTTATGTGGAATCCCTCCCCGTAGAGGCGGTTAAATTTCGATTTAAAGCTTTCGTGACTGCAGGGATTCATCTTCTTGGTTCTTTCGGTAAAGTCACGTAGAAGGGAAGTAATAAAATAATAAAAAATAAAACATAATAAAACAATTCTCACGACGTTTCGGCCACAACGCAAGCAGCCGTCCTCAGGTGAAAACCAGGTCTGTCGAGGCGACAGCGTTGTTATTAAACACCTGCATTTCCCGAGGAGTCATCCTCCTGAACTCCTCACCACCACCACCACCACCGCCATCGTCGTCAAATCATCATCAAAGGTAATCAAAACACACATTGTTCTTCATAATTTATCATTGATTGTAGTCAGTGTTATCAAACATTTACCATTCCCCCCCCCCCCCCCTATGTTGACTCGTACCAGAAACGCAACCCCATTTTTTCCATTGGACCAAGGTTTCCATACTACACAACCCCTTTGACACTGCCAAAAACCTAGAGCGTGTAGACGTGCGGTGCTGTATTTGCACAGTGCAACCTCGCGTTGTGACATCGTCATTACAGCCATGGGCACCTTTTTCACCGCCCTGAATGGGTGTCAAACGGCGTGGCTCAAATGCGAAGCTAACCGCAACGAATGAAGGGATATCTCTCACTCAGACGCCTTCACAGCCACCCCAAGACTTAAAATGTTACCTTCATTAAGCAATTCACGTCGAAAGAATCATTATATTACATTTTCTTTAAAGACAACAAAACAATTCGTAGAAAAGTATTTTATTAGAAAAATTATTTATCATCTCCAGCTTCTTGGTGCGGCGGCGTCCCAACGCCCCTAGTGGACGAACCGCGCCTGTGTACAATACAAAATAAAATGGAAATTCGGATTTGCAGATAGATGACATGGGAAGAGATGAGAATTTTCAGTCATGTTTTTATTGAAAGTTGCTGACATGTCGAGACCGAATGTGAATCTGATTGCCGTCAGCAACGCATATCGGGAAAAAGTTAAAGAATCAGCATATACTTAAAACACTGCAAGTGATAATCTTAGTGGAAAGCCCTCAGAAAAGAATAGAGTTTAGTTGTATAGTGTGTGAAGGGGGAAGCAGAGTGTTTTGTGTGCCAGGTGAGCAAGGACACACAATTTGCATAGCAGGTTGATGCAAGGTTAGTAAAACACAGTTTCGAAGAGAGGAGGAACAATGTTAGAGACTTTTGTAAAACACTGAGTAGAGAAATACCAGCAAAGGCAAAGAGAGGGAGCGGAGTGGCAATGGAATAGAGATGTAAGAGAGGCAAAGAGAGCTGGGTCATTAACAAGCTTGTTGTTCAATTATATAAAGACAATATCGTGCTGATTTTTTATGCACTACCCCAATAATTGCAATTTAAAAAGTTTGCTCAAGGAATGATATTTTATTAGATAAGCATTCAATCATCTTTTGCGCATTGTAATTGTTGAACTGTGCTTATATGCTCCTGCATCTGTTTCCCCCACCTTCATTAAACCGTACTCATCAGCATGGTAAAGTATGGTTAAATAACCCCCACGACAAAGAGCTGTACACGTACTCGCATTCATTGAAAGTCGTGCATATATTAACGATTTGCTTATGCATATATGCTCATCTGTGTGTCCTCGGTCACAAATCCACAAACATGTAAGAAATACATAATCTATAACAATGCTTGTACTCACATTTTCAATAATAAGTGACCAAAGATGATACACCAGTTCTTTAATTGAATGGTATACATTATATATATATTTTTATTATTCAATGCATCACAACAACAAAAAAACTGTGCTCTAAGAGTACACAACCATAAAAATAAGAGCTAAAGAAGGCACAAAGAGGCTAGCGGGGTGTGTTATCTATAAAACGATTCTTTGCTACTGACTTGATCAACACAAAGATATTATATGGAATTATTGAAGTAGGGTATAACCAAAGGTATTTAAATCTTCAATTTAGGAACGGACATATATTTTGAGCCTTGCTCTGTGGTCCACATACCGCGAGGCACGCCGTTAAATTAAATAAACACTTTTAATATGTTTCTGAAGTCCTGGTTTCCAAAGGTATTAGACGACATGATAAATATATACTTTTTGCCAGTGCTTTCTTTTTCGGTAATATCTCCGTCTACAGCAGGCAATCTGTGAAGCAAACACAGGTGACACTTGTTTTCATTTTTAGCAGGGGAAAAAAAAACATTACAATATTAATGTGAGCTAAAGGTATATTTTATAACGTATATTTTTAAATGTGTTTCATAGCATATAATTCAGGACTGTGAATTCGTGCACTCCGCGTGTGACAAATGCATTGGAGCCCTTTCACACTCATTTTAACGCATGGACATCACACACAATTTCCCTGCTGCAAGCATCCCCCTTGGGGCAAAGAAATACTAATGCACATATAGCATGCAAAGACACACAACTTGGATACGAGATGCATTGCACTTCACTCACAGGTAAACACACTTCACTCACAGGTAAACAAGCCCAAACGTCTACACCAGCAACCTACTCATCGTGAGCATCTCTAAACATTACAGCCCCATTCCATTAACCTTGTTTTTTGTTTTTAGATTAATAGTTGCCACTTACCAGCCAAAAGCAGCAACAGCAATGAAGCAGCACAGCAAGCAGCAAACACGACAGGGTGATGGCAAAGATGATCCAGAAGGGCAAGGAGGCTCCACCACTCTGCTGTGAATTAGCGCCAAAAGCGCCCCTTTCTGAATCACACACAAATACATGCATTCAGTAAAAAAGCAACAACGCTTTTTTGAATAAACACATATAAAGCCTATATCACTGAAAGGGTAAATATGTCATTATGCATAGCGTTTGTAGACTGTAGCAAGTTCTCACAAACCTGGCCATCATAAAATATATATAATGTATAAATATGAATGATTATTAAAATAATTTAAGAAGATGGAATAGCTACACTAAGATTGTTTAAAAAAAGTAACATCTCCGATTAGCACGGTTGTTTATGTACAGTGTGAAAGAAATTCAACATACATACAATCTTACCAAGGATATTCACAGTAACAATAGAAGATCAGTTTGACACGTAGGCTTTCGCGACCAATATTATCCATAAAAGATGTTTTTGGGTTAGATCGCATAAATATAAATATCGTTAAATCCGCCACCACCCGACACAGCCAATTGGTAAGAAGGTTTGTCACGTAAACAAAACATGCCAATTCGTTACTAGTTTAGCACAACGGTATGTTGGAGTGTAAACCCACAAAATTTACAATTCGATGTTTTCTGAAAATTGCACTCGAGAAATTAAGGCATCAACATTAGTGGGGAAAATATTCACGTCAGTAATTGTGTAATGTCGTTAATTACCAATAACATTCTTCACAACCTCTTTGAAGTTATTTACAAATGAGGAGATGCGTGAAGAGACAAAGGGAAAGGGGTGAAAATCTACTGGGGCCCAAAACTCACCTACCGCTGCCCCCCAGAAATTGCAATAATTTTTCTTCAAGCTCAATACCAAAAAAAGTTGCCATTGCATTTATCACCAAGCTTGTAACTTCTTTCACAGAATGCACATCATTATTCTAAAGGAAAAAAATTGCATCGAACGAGCACTTCAGAATGAAATAACGAGTAGATTTTTTGTTTTTGCTTTCATGCTCCCAATGCTTGCTACAACTTCAATGTGTTACATTGTCAGATGTCTTTTCTCATTCGTTTCATCGTTCTACAGAGTTCTATGTAATTAATCTTTATTGGTGCATCTTCATCTAGCTTTACATGTCGCCTCTTTCTTAATGTCTTCATGGGTTCAGATAAGTTTCTCGTTGCTTCCTATCCTTCCCCCAACTTACAATGCTCATTGGAAATTTATAAATGGTAGCCCTTGGAGAAACAGTGAGAGCCAAGAAATGGAACACGTCCAAGGGTACATGATTCCATTGCAGGTTTGCGGGGGGTGATGGTGACTTTGGGAGGCCTTTATCCAGCATTAGATTGACAGTGGCTTATAATGATGAAGATATGCATTCCAGTTGGCTAAAGGTTACGTATATATTACCTGTTATTGTAATGCTTTCCATGTCCAGTTGATATTCTCCAAGGAGGCCATTTTGTAGGTTGTTAACAATGTTGTAATAGACTGTTGTGGCATTTAATTCATTGATATTGCTCTCATTTGATATGAATGTGCAGATACTGTACACGTTGAGGAATACAGGGCTGTTTAAAAGAAATAAAGACAACGTTAATTGCAAACGTTTGATAAAACATACACAAAACAGAATACATGCGGTGGTCGTTTTAACAACTGCACAGGCCTCACACTACACATAAACTTATAATCTCGTCAAAAATGTAAAGTATCTTGAGGAATTGGTCGTGCTCACCTCAGAGGCAATCCTAAGGTAATAGTCTACAATCTAACTTCATATGGCAAAGACTAGTCTCTCCAGAATACAGCCACTTTTGGCTTTCCACAACATGATACTCATTTTATTGACCCAAGAGGAGTTGCTGTAATAGAAAGTACTGGCACAGAATACCATTCAAGTATTGTTCCATTATAACAACCATCGTAATAATCTGGAGATTTTCGTGAGTAAAATAATAAATTCAGCACCCCCGATAACCACGTAAAAGTGACTCCTATCCGCGGATGATGATAACTATAATTTATGTCATTGCTGTCACAATCACTGCCAGTCAGGCATCATCTTCATAAATGTTGCGACCACCACTGCAGTTGCCAGAAGCGTGTTTGGGGTTGCATGCATTCCAAAAGTTTTCTTGCAATCCCTGAAAGTTATATGCTTGATCCATGCCTTCCTAACGATTATAAGATGATTTCACCACTGATTTTGGGATATGCCTCTTATCTGTTGGTAAGCATTTCAAATGTTCATGAATAACTGAAATAATTATTAAATTATTTCGTGGGATATATTATAACAAGAGTAAATAGTAAGATGATGGATGAGAGGAGATTCACAGATGATATGATTTTAAAAAAATACAATTTGGGACGTACCTCATCTGCTTCAATAAACTTGCTGACAAAGGAAAAACACCGCCATCCAATATGCAGCATTGCATGTACATAGACTTGGACTCTGCAGCCTAACATGCCAGGGACTACACATACTTGGGTGCACAAAATGTGGCATGAATAGAATGTGATATAATCCCAATGCTCTTATTATTGGGTCGCCATGTCTTGTTGCATATGTGTGAGAAAATTACTGAAAATTTCAGTGCAATGCCTCAAGCTCTAAATGTCAGTCTAGTACATCATGGGGCTGTCATGGTTTCTATATCAATGCCTGAAGTTTAGCATGCTTAGAACCCCCAGGATTCTTAGACATCATTAGTATTAACAAATTACATTAGGATTAAACAATCATCGATGGATGGACGAGCTCATATTCTTGGTTCAGAACAGTATGCTTTATGCAGGGTGGTTTAAAAAATGTTAACACTTATATGGGACTATCGTTTTTAATGGAAAGAGAACAGATATTACACCGTGATAAAAAATGTATGTTAATAGCTTAAAAAAGTCAAAGAGTCTCCACTTGTTCGCCATCATTCTCAACATATGCCTGGAATCTTCTCCAAGTGGTCTCCAGAGCCCAGAGGCACATTTCTTGTGGTATTGTTGCAAATTCTCAGAAGTGTTAACATTTTGTTGAAGCACCCTGTATTGTGTCAATTTCTACTCTTCTTTCCTTTAAACTTTTAAAATCAAGCCGATTTCCTAAAATCAATGCGATTTAAAAAAAAATGCCAAGTGAACTTCATTATGATCACTCTGTTATTACGATCATGATTGCGATAATTGCATAGTGTGCTGTATTTCTTAAAAATCGTATACTCACTCAATTTGAATTACTGTGCAGGAATTAAACATGCCCTTAAGATCACTTTGGTTGAACAGCTGATTAAACTAGAAAAAAATTGGGTTACAGATTAAAATGAAGTATCGTATATACAATTTCATATTACATCAACACAGTAATGCATTATTTAAATATTTATTGTACTTTTATCTACTAAAGTG